CTCCTCAAAGACACGCCCTAAAACAAAGCAGACACACACACACACACACACATACCAGAAGGTTTGGTGTAAACCCAGCTTTGACATATGTTTTATGTTTCCCTCAAAGAAAACACTCGCCGCCCAGATCTCATTTCCCCTCACAACCTAATCAAAACTTCGGAGGGCCAGACAACAACAAAAAAACTTCGGCTGAGACCCTGAGTCCTCAAGCTCACTGGCGTGGGTCGGCACATACATCGCGCGCACGCTGGCGTCCGCGGACTCCGCGGCGAGCAGAGCTTCGCTCTCGCTCGCGGGCCAAGCGAAGTCGTTCAGCAGCGCCTGGCTGGGGTTGAGGCTTCACAGCTTGACCCGACTCCGACCGGGACCCGGCAAAAAGCTGGAAAGGTTTGCTGGTAAGGGAAAATGATGGAACTCAAAAAGGCCAAAAGGAAAGAAGGTAAGCCAAGTCTGGCAATGACAAAGGGTAGCTGGACCCTCGGTCCTTGGTACCACATCTTTTGGGGCTCACAAACAGACACATTCCTTGAAAAGGGGCCAAAGTGATTGCTCCAGAATCTGGGGGTGATGCCCCAATTTCATTTGGGGCTCTGTTGCTTTGCCCAGCAGTTGCAGGGGTGGCTCAGGCAAAGCAAAAAAAACGACCGGAGCAAAGGGTCACAATCTTTCAAAGATCGCACCCCTTTCTGTGGTAGCAAAGCAGCGAGTCACCCCTATGACTGCGTCTCACTCTCAAGGGGATGGCCACATTGATCGCAAAAGTTTGCCCCAGCACCCAACTTTCCCACATGACTCTCTGTGTCGCTTCATGGCCTACCCCCAAAACGGGAAAACCTCAAAGACACGCTCACTCAGACTTTTTCGGCTTTGACGCAAAGATGACACCTGCCAACAACACATTTCGTCCGTTCACTAACCCATCCGGCGGGAAAAAGGTAGTCTTAAACGCAAATCTGAAAGACAAGCCACAGGCTGTCCGATATCGCCAGCCTATAAATATCATCCTTCCAAAAAGAATCTCACTTGGGTGCTTCTCAACATAGGGCACCCCCAGGGTTCCTTCCTTTTTGGCACCAGATAGGTAGAGCTTGCCGGCTGAGCCACCAAATTGACAGGAAATATGCGAACGCCAGATCTCTTCATACAAAAGACCAAAAGGCTGCGCCAAAGCCCCAAGTTGCCGCCGTCCCTTTCCCCTGCTCGCTACGTTTGTTGTAGGTAGGTTGTTGCATGCCAAACATGTCTGAACATCTGAAAATGAAGAAGATACTGGCCAACTATGGACAAAGTGATGTATGGCTCTATTTCCAAGACCCAGAAAAATGCCAAGGAACCCCCCGCCTCCCCCTCGCCCCTGCCCAGTTCCGCCCGGCGGCTCCCCACCTGCGCCGCCAGCGCGCACCGCAGCCCCGGATTCGCCGGGGGCGCCTCGAGCTCGGCGCGGCGGAGCGCGCGGCAGCGCAGCTCCAGGGCGGCCGAGAAGTCGTGGTGGCTGGACAGCCTCGGTCTGTGAGCTCCGTTTGCCGGGTTTCGTGTGTATTGTCTTCAATGTTGGTTTGGGGGGCGTTGGTGTTGCGTGTTCTTGTTTTTGAATGTCAATGTGTTTGTTTTCAATGTTTGGGGGAAGGGGTGGGTGGGATTGAGTTGTGCGTCCTCGGGAGTTGTTAGGCTTTTGGCCATTTTGGTGTTGCGGCGGTGTTGTCGGAGCAGCTTTCAGGGAGGGTTCCGGAAGTTTCCAGAGGCGCCTGGTCTGTTGAGGTACAACCTGGGTTTATGTTAAATTTGATTATTCAGGAGGGGGTTGTTGCCCTGTCTATTTTTTGGAGCCCCAACAACTCAAGCGGGTCCAGCACACGGGTGACATTTTCCTGTTGCCTCGTGTGTTGCCCGTTGAACCGTTGGCTACAACCCCCCTCCCCCCGGTGTTGGCAAAAAAAACAGTTGGTGGTTGCACCCCCCCCCCTTGCCAGGCTTTTTGGATTGGAACAACCCGAGCCGCCGTATCGACTTCCAGAAAAAGCCAACCCTCGCTGGTCGCTTGTCAAGTGGCACCTCAATGGCCAGAAGATCGTCCCACCTGAGATGAGGTTGGGTCATGTTGAGCCCATGAGGACCTTTAGCGGCTAAAGGCAACAAAATGTGGGGTGTCTTTTGGGTGTCAGCCTAAAAGCAGACCCAAACAGGGTACCTTTGGCCGCAAAAAATACACACCTAGCGTTCCCTGCAACACTCTCCTGAGTGCAGAGGGGATTAGTCCATAGGGGCCTGAATAATGAACATTTTGTCTTGGGGTGCTTCTAAACCAAAGGTTTGGGTTAAGGGGTCGTGTCCCATGTACCAGAACCAGGGGTTCAAATCCCCAAACCACCAATCCAAACCACCAACTAGAGGTTGCCTGAAAGACACGAGTATAGGAGTAAGCTGTTAGTGATTGGTTAGGCCCTTACATTACATACGTCCAACCATATGTTCGCCTCCTCTCCAACTGCTTCCAATCCTTGACATGAGAGAATAAACACCGTTTTTGGAGACAATCCTGAACAAACAAAAACTAGGTCTTGTTGAGCCACCCACTAAACAAGATCAGAACATGTCAGAACCAAAAATAACGGGGAACAAACAGAAAACAGAACGTGTTTGATGCGCCATCCACGAAGAAATGAACAAAAACCAACAAGTTGCCTTTGTTTTTTGGAGCCACCCACCAAAAATGAAGAGACCCGTCTCCTCCAAGGCGCGTTTCGGGCTCCAGCAGCAGCCGCCCCGCCTCCTGCACCGCCGCATCCCAGGCCGCGGTTTCGAAGGCCGCGGCATCGCGCAGCAGAAGCCAGAGCCGCCGCGCCTGGGCGCCAGCGGGGCCATGGAAATATATTTCCAAGTTGGGTTTACCAACCCAGGTACCCTCCAACTCCAAAAACTGGCGTATCCCCAAATGGTTTCCTTGGGGACCAATTCCTGGGTTCATTCCTGGGTTCATTCCTGGGTTCGTTTAAAACACCAGTTGGGTTACCAACCCAGGTACCCTCCCTCCTTTTAACCCTCCCTCCCTCCTATTTCCCTGGTGTCCTCTTTGGGGAAAACGGATGGATGTCATGACGTCCCTGGTAAATGGGGGATGCGGGCTTGCCCCAATCTCAAGTGCCCATCAATTTCCAAGAATCATGGGGTTCTTTGGACCATTTTCGTTTAAAACACCAGTTGAGTTTACCAACCCAGGTACCCTCCAACTCCAAAAACCGGCGTATCCCCAAATGGTTTCCTTGGGGACCAATTCCTGGGTTCATTCCTGGGTTCGTTTAAAACACCAGTTGGGTTTACCAACCCAGGTACCCTCCCTCCTTTTAACCCTCCCTCCTATGTCCCTGGTGTCCTCTTTGGGGAAAACGGATGGATGTCATGACGTCCCTGGTAAATTGGGGATGCGGGCTTGCCCCAATCTCAAGTGCCCATCAATTTCCAAGAATTATGGGATTCTTTGGACCATTTTCGTTTAAAACACCAGTTGAGTTTACCAACCCAGGTACCCTCCAACTCCAAAAACCGGCGTATCCCCAAATGGTTTCCTTGGGGACCAATTCCTGGGTTCATTCCTGGGTTCGTTTAAAACACCAGTTGGGTTTACCAACCCAGGTACCCTCCCTCCTTTTAACCCTCCCTCCCTCCTACTTCCCTGGTGTCCTCTTTGGGGAAAACGGATGGATGTCATGACGTCCCTGGTAAATGGGGGATGCGGGCTTGCCCCAATCTCAAGTGCCCATCAATTTCCAAGAATCATGGGGTTCTTTGGACCATTTTCGTTTAAAACACCAGTTGAGTTTACCAACCCAGGTACCCTCCAACTCCAAAAACTGGGGCATATCCCCAAATGGTTTCCTTGGGGACCAATTCCTGGGTTCATTCCATTTCTCATTCCCTGCTTATCGCCAGCAAGCCACTAACTAACAATCAGTTGCCCCTGCCCACTACCCTCTCTCCAATCATGGAAGCTGACAGGAGGCTTTTGGAACCATGGTTCCTTTTGGGGAACCATGATTCTTGGAAAGCAGGTAACATGGAACCAAAGGGTCCCTTTAAAGGAACATCGTCCAAACCAGGATCAACATAGCACCTGTGGCCAGTTGGTACCGAGAAGGTCAGTTTCCTCTTGGGACCCTCCTAGGTGCCATATTTTCGGGAGGATTGCGACTGGTGCAGGAGTTTGTCCAGTAGGAAAAGTCCCAGCGGTTCTTGGGGTGCTGCGTCCAGGATCCAGCTAAGAATGGCTCCCTTCAAACTTGTGGGGTGTTGCCAGCCAGGCAAATGAGATCTGTGGATCGCGACATGGGCAAGGGCCGGGCAAACCCCTTTCCTAGGGTTGACCCACTTTGGCTGAGTCTTGGGGTAAACGTTGCTGGTTACCTTAACCCAGCCATTGCTTCAATGGTCGCTGGAATCCCACAGCCTTGCTGCAGCATGAGGTCTAAACCAGCCTGCAAAATGTTTGAACAACCTGAAATGACCACTTCTGTGATGCCACAAAACGCGCTGTCCAAAGACAAACCCCCCATATAAAGGAAAATATTCCCAAAAGTATCATGGGGATAAAGACTTAGTGACTAGCCCCCCAAATAAAGGGGGAGATTCCCTTGTATCACAGAGGTGATAAACCCCGAGCGATCCACCGCAACCCTCACATGGCTGTGGCTCAAAAAAAGAAAACGGTGCCAAAATGGGTTGCCCTAAGTGGAAACATGGGTTCCCTAGACCTGCGGTTTGCCCCTCCGATCGTTGAATTTTGAGCCACGCCAAAATGACGACTTTGGGCTGTCGCTCAGAGGCCCCCCCCCCGCCTCTGCAGTCCGGAAGGCAGCCGGGCCCGGGTCTGCCAGGTCTCCTCGCCACCTGCGCAGGCAGTCGGACCACTTGGGGGCATGGCTGCCTTTGGAGACGCGGTGCCCTTTTGGGTGGTTCAAAGGGAAGCTATTCAGGTCCCCCCCCCCCCCAAAAAAAAGAAGAGAAGAAGAAAAAACTACATGGAACCTGCACAGGGCACCTTTAAAAGGAAAATGGTCTTCCAGGAACCCATTCCTTGTGTAGGTTCTATATTTGTTGTGAGGGTAACTGGGATCCACCGGATAAGTTTCCCAAAACTATGCCGCCTCCCCCCGCATGATGGACACTTAGGGTCCATTTGCAACCTCTTTGATTTAAGATATTGGTTTTTTACGGCTCTTGGCTGCGACCAAGAATCTGTTTTTCTTCAGAGAGCAGGACTTTAAAAGAAGGAGGTTGCAAAATGGACTCCTCCTGCTCCTCCCAACACCCCCCGTCCCAGGGCACCCCGCATGGCACCCGCCCCCCATGGCCCCGCAACCAAGCATGTTAGAAAAAAAAAATGAAAGAAGGAGGTCCACCATCCACCAGACACCCCCCACGGCCCCCCCCCCGTCCCTCAGCGCGCGCCTCCGGTAGAGCCGCCGCGGCTCGTCCCGCCGCGCCAGCTCCTTCGCCACTCGGCGCAAGGCGCGGCCCTCGAGGCGCGCCAGCTGCCGCAAGGCCGGGGCCACCGCCTCGGAGCGAGAAGCCAAGGGAACTCCGGGTGACTTCTGTGGCCATGGGGCCATCAAAAAACGTCGACTTTGGGAAACACAACAAGTTTTTTTTTTTAATGGGTCTTTGGTATCACAACAAGTGATGTTTGTTGTTGACTTGGTCTTCTTTGGTACCACAACAAGCGGCATGCGCAACAAAAAGGTTGATTTTTGTATCACAACACGTGGTTTAGTTTTTATGCGGGCCATGCGGTAAATTGGGAGATGTGCAAGTATTTATTTTGCCCCCTTACTCTCTACGACTCCCAATGCTGACCTTTTCGCCTTGCAGTTTCCACAAATTGGACCGAAGGTCCCAAAAGGATAACAGTTCCCGGTGATTCCCTTCCGGCGTATTGTAGAAACCCATGGAGCCACCCCACTGAAATTCTGAAATATCAAGAGGAACAGAGCGAGGGCATACCTAAAAATAGGTTCGAAAGGTTGTGGCTAACTTCCTGTAGATTTTTTGTTCGAACAAATTCTTGGCCCTCACATGCGAGCAAAGATGGCAACACCCCTCAAGGGTTGGTCTCCAAGGATATGGAACCCCTTTTAAGCCACCCCCCTAGACTAAAGACCCTCTGTCTTAGGGAATGATGCCGACCCCTGAAGAAAGAGGATGTGTTTATCATGAAAGAGCAGGCTGCGCCAAATACACATTCAACACGGGTGTTGAAGATACTTATTTCAAGAAGGTAATTGGTGGCTTCCATCCATTCCAAACCCGACCACACTTCAAACGGTCTGCCCCCTGCTCCCAATACGCACTTTTTCAATGGTACAATGTCAAACCATTGACTCTGGAAAATCCTGGCTACCCCTCTCCCTCCCGGCCCCAGTGTCTCCAATTGCGCTAAGAGCAGGGATCCACTGGGCAAGGTCGAACTCATTTCCTCATGGCAGAACATCTACGAGCCCTCGTCTTCTACCAGCAAAAGTACAGCTCGAGTTAGGTAGTGGGAACCCCTACCCCAAAAACCCAGAACCCCCCCCCCAAAAACAAGTAAATGACACACAAATGAGTAAACATGAAATAATGAAAATAATAATAATAATAATAATAATAATAATAATAATAATAATAATTAATAATAATACATACTAATAATACTACTAATAATAATAATAATAATAATGAATAGTAATAATAATAATCATCATAATAATAATAATAATAATGATAATAATAATAATAATGATAATAATAATAATCATAATAATAATCATAATAATAATAATGATCATAATAATAATAATCAAATAATAATAATGATGATAATACTAATAATAATAATAATAATAACTAATAAATAATAATAATAAAAAAACAATAATAATAATGGAAATAATAATAGTAATAATAATAATAATAATAATAATAATAATAATCATAATAATAATAATAATAATATAATAATAATAATAATAATAATAATAATAATGAATAGTAATAATAATAATCATCATAATAATAATAATAATGATAATAATAATAATGATAATAATAATAATGATAATAATAATAATAATAATAATAATAATAATAATAATAATAATAATAATAATACTACTAATAATAATAACAACACTGATAATAATGATAATAATAAACACACTAAACATTCTAATAATCATAATAACAGTAAAATAGGGGATACCAAGCCAATCCCCCTTTTTCTCCCTGTGCTTGCTCCAGACCCTCCAGCCTCGCGTTCCGCGAGTTCCTCCAGCTGCGAGGAGTTCTGGAGGCCCGCTGCCAGAAAGCCTTCCACGTCGCCGAAGTGGCGCTCGAGCTCCGCTACCTCGCGACCGCGGCTCGTGGCCCTTTGCCTCTTTCGTGGAAACATATCTTGGGAATGGGTTTTGAGTCTGTGGGAAAAAAAAACACATCCGCGCCTTTTGCCTCTAGCTGGGAGGCTGGACACACACACACACACACACACAGCCACCGCCAGCCTCCCCCGGCCCCGCCCACCCCCCCGCGCCGAAGGCGATCCAAGGCGCCTCGGCCGCCGCGGCGGCGCAGGCGAGGCCTCGGCCTCCGCAGTTTGGCGCCAGGAAGCCCAGGGCCTCGGAGTCCTCCAACGTCGAAGCGGAGCCGCGGAGAGGCGACCCGCGAACCGCGAAAAGCGGAGCCGAATTAGAAAAACCAAAAAAACAAACAAGGTGCGGCCGGAGGCCGAAGAACAAACAAAACCCGGGGCTGGGGGTGGAAAGAGATAAAACACCAAGAACAACAAAATTGGGTTGGTTGGGTGAATAAACAAAACACACGGAAGATGATGCTGGAAATCGCAAAGGTAGTGGACCAACAAACATGATACTGGAAACTCCGGTGGTTCCATTTGGGTGTCATTGGAGTATGACGTTGAATGGTGTGCCCTTTCAGGCACATACCGGAAACATGGCAAGTATGGCGAGTATCTAAACAAATGGATGTCCATTGAGTCCATTTGGAGGCGACCAGGCAGGTGATTGACCAAGAAACATATGAGCCGTCAAAAATGCAAAAAGTGCGTAACGAGGCTGTCTAGATTTGGATTCTTACATGCTGTCAAACCCCAGTGGCAATGGGAAAACAGCATTGGCACTCTTTTTCGGTGCGTGTTTCCAAGGAACCCCTCCAAAAGTTGAAGAAAGGAATTGCTAGAGGCCTGGGGTTGTCTACCGTAGGCTAGCCTCCCTGCACCCTGTCCTCCGGCACGAAGCCGTACTCCCGGAGAAATACCGCGCCTGTGCCTTGAAACCGAGCGAGGACGTGAACAAATATTCCCCAAACCCTTCGCGCGCCACGTATGGCCGTGGGTCAAACATTTCAAACCAAGGATTCAAACCAGTGGTCCCCCCCAGTTTAATGTTGACTACCGATCAGGGCGTCAAGTTTTGACCATGGCACAAAAAAGGTCTATTGACCCATAAACAAGCTCTGGTGATATCCCCAACAGCATGCGGTGCTCTTCCCTCGCAGAACCTCGTGGAACCCTCGTAAAACCCTGGTGGAACCCTGGTGGAACGCTTGTGGAACCTTACCTCAGGGCACCCCGGGGCCTATCTGGGCTGAGACCCCAAAGCTTTCAGCTGTTGGGGGAAAATCACCTCCAAGCCGCTTGTGCCTTTCTGCTTCGTGTTTGGTGTGCCACATTGCGTGAAACCAGGGCTGACGACCAGCTTCACGCCCAATCTTTGGCACCTCTTGTGGTTTCCGAGGATTCTGTCGCAGCCAACAGGCCTGTTGACTGAGTGAGCACTGCCCCATTTTGGAAGGAACCCGGATCTTCCGCAACCTGGGCCATGGTAGGCAAAGGCGTTGTCTTTGTTGCAGCCTCCCCGCCCAACCAACAATGAACAGAACCAAGAAACTGAAAAACCAACACATATAGTTTGAACAGTAAAGTAGTGCGTCCCCTTCAGTTTGGGTATATGACCCCACTTTCAAGGATCATGGAGATTCCAGGTTGGTTTATCTCAGGACACTGGGAACACCCCCCACCCTATCCCATGTAGAGCCATCAATGGTCATAACCTTCCCATTGCTCCCCTAGCTCTGGCTCTGAATCAATATTGGATTGTTGGGGGAATACCAAAGACTGAAAAACTGAAAATCTAAGAACTACAAACCACACTCAAAGAACAGTGACCCCCCCTGTTCGACACAAAACCCCAAGGCCCACCACCCGCTCGCGTGCGGTTCGAGTTGCGGCGCTCGCTGCTGGAGATGTACTCCTGGGTTGGTCCCATAGAAAATCCGAGACCAACAGGTAGAACCACCAAGCGGGCAACAAATGCATTCAGAACTCTGAAAAACACGCTGAACACAACACTCAAGAAAGAGACATTCACAATTTGCCAACAAGTTTCAAACAAACACTGGACCAACCATGCCCGATCACACTAGCGTGAGAAACTTCCTCCAGTGTCTGCAAGGTTCGATAGACAACAGGTATTTCCAAGTTGCCCACTTGTTGCTCGTCAGTGGCGGAAAGTTCACAACCGAAACTTGTCACGGAAAACAAATATCCTGGTTGTCCAACTGTTGTTTGGCCAGGCATAACATGGCATAGCATCGGCTGCAACACGGGGAGGAATTGTTCAAAGAAGGCATAAGCCACGTCAAATCTCCTCATGCGAGTATGGTCATGGTTCCCCGAGGAATCCTTACCATTGTCAAACATCTCTAAGGGGTTGATAACCATCCCTACAAACCCCAGAAAAGGTCTTCTGACCATGGCAAACATACTCTCCGCTGATAGCTGCTCCTCTCCCTGATAGCCTTCCCATGATCTTCCCCCAAGGTCTAAGGCGCACCGGGGAGTGAATGCAACACGCGGCGATGAATTTTAACAGGGAACCCCATCGAAGGTGGTTGGACATGAACCCTCGTTTGAATGATGTCCATATTTCGGGTCCTCTACTCAAATTCACACCTGCATGGGTGTTTCTCAAAAATCACACCCACATATGGGTCTGTTTTTGTTTTGGTTCTCCCTTTTGCTTGGTTTTGAAGGGAAACCAAAAGGACGCCCGAATCCATTTTGGGGGGTCCACTACAAAAGACACACCCGTTTATGTCCGGTCCTCCAAAAAGGCCCAGGCTCCGTAAAGAGCTCAGCGCCCCTGTCCACCGAACCCAGCGCCGTGCAGGCGAAGAAGCCGTCCAGCCCGGCCTTGGAGGTGTCCAGGTACCTCGGCGAAGACAACCGCCCATGGCACTTGTCAGCTCGCCCCCAATCTTGCTGGTGCTCAGCAGGGCTGTGGGAAATGGAATCCACTTCTGTGATACAACGATACAACAAAAAGGGCATCCCAAAGACTACCCCCCCCTTTCAAGAGGAGATTCCCTTGCAGCACAGATGTGGGGATAAACCCCTTGATCCCACAACCCTGCTCAGCAGGGAGTGAGACATGGAATGACCCCGAGAAAAACCGTCACTTGTGGTTTCCGGAATCCCCAGGTTCATTCCATGTCTCATTCCCTACCTGTCGCACCAGGCAAGTAGTTGGTTTGGCCTCATTGGTATGGGCTTTGGCCTGCGCATGGCCACACCCAAACAAATCTGTCCATGTGACATGACAAGAAAACTTAGTCGTTTCACGTTCGCCCTAATTGGTGGTTTTGGAGCGTGGTGGTTTGGAGCTGGGCGCGTTTCCCATTTCCCCTCCTCAAGAACCAGGGCGTCAAATCCCCAAAAACCACCAATCGAAACCACCAATTCAGGGATAGTGGAACTTGGGTGTTTGTTGCCAATTTTATAGTTCTTGGTAACCTCTAACCATATAAGTTTCCCGTTCAGTGGAGTTAACCCAGTTACTTGGGACTATAACTTAGGTGGTATGGATTGGCAAACAACTTGAGGGTATGCCAGCTGCTCATGGCAAAAGCACACCCAAAGATGAGAAAAACATAATTTCCAAAACAGTTCAAGGTTAAACAGATCCACTGCAAAAGCAGCCAAGTAATGAGAACCATCCTTCCTAATTGGGGGGATTACCCACAAAAGTGGTCCGGATAACCACTAACAGGGGGGACCCCTACTAATTGACCGGGGTTGTCTTAATCCGGGGGCACCTCGTTGTTCATTTGCTGAATTGCTTCTTCTAAGCCAAACCTCTGTGTACCTGGACTTGGTTGACGTTGGGTTTGGGGAGCAAAAATCTTCAAATCTTAGCTGTTCAGTGGATTTGGATTTCAACCACTCAACCACAATAAGCAAAAATCTTCAAATCTTAGCTGTTCAGTGGATTTGGATTTCAACCACTCAACCACCATAAGATATCAAACATGATGGACAACTGTGTTTTTTGCCCAACAAGGTCCCATGTAGAGTCGTCGTGGACTCCGAGGCGCCGGGTGCCGCAGCGCACGTTGCAGCGGCTCTTCGGAGCCCAGTTCAGCAGATCCGCCACGGGGACCAGGCCTCCGGCTCTCGAATCGCTCGAAACGAAGAACGAACCCGGCAAAGGTCCACAGACGCTCACGGCCCTATGGCTAAGGTAAGGTTCTTTTTGTTTTTGTGTGTGTGTGTGTGTGTTTTTTCTCCCCCGGGTGTTTTGCCATGTATGTGTTTCTTCTCTGGTGTTACCTCTGGCTCAAGGGAACCCAGGTGCAGCTGAGCTTCTAGGCAAACCACCATAGTAGGTGAGGTGGTTTTGGTTTATTCCGGGTTTTACCATGTACGGTTTCCCCTTACCTCTGGTTCAAGGACATTTTCGGGTATGGGTCTTGGAGGTATAAGGTTATATACCAATTGTATAAGGGGTGTATGTGTATATATATATATACACACCGCCTTGCAAGCTTGAGTCTGTTGTTAGCATACATATCTCCATACCTGAAAATGTCCTTGAACCAGAGGTAAGGGGGAAACCATAAATGATGAAATATGTGCCAAGCAAAGAAAACAGAACCCAATGCATAAATAAGAACCAGATAAATAAATCACCAAATAATAGTAACATTGATGCAAATATCATCATTCGATTAGAACGTTTACGTTAGCAATCAATAGAATAGAAAAAAAAAAAACAGTTTCATCCAATTAAACAAAAACAATAATATAATAATCAACTCGAAATCAATGTATGAACAAAGAAGTATATTTTACTGCAATTTACAGAAAACTAATTCATAGCAACACATATGATAATTGACCCGCCAAATATAGCTATTCCAAATGCTACCTGCAAAGTTAAATTGCCATGCTGCAGGTAGCCATAATCAAAGGTAAAGAAGGAAATACAAGAGAAGAGAAGTAAAACCTATCCAATTGGATCGAGGTAAACTGCTTGAATGGAATAAGAAGAATCATGTTTGAAAAAATAATAAGAACTAAGCGGTACGTTACCCACTATAGCGGCTGTCCTGGAAGCCCTGCTGCACCTTCCCCATTCTCTCACGAGTTCCCTCAAAAGATCCTGAGAAAACCAACCGGTAAAATGGGTCTCAAGACAACATCCAGTGGTTCCAGCTGTGCGATCCTTGTCCTTTGTGCGGAACCCCAATCAACCCGTGGCTTTAAGGTTCAACGTGTTTTCCGCAATCCCCACTGCACAAGTGTAGTGCCTTTTTTGGGTTCAGCTTCAGACTTGCCTAAGCAAACGGGGCCGAAATGGAAACCAAAAAGGAACCAAACAAGTTGCGTTTTCTTGGCAAACCAAGAGGAAGCCGACAACATTTGTTGGTCCTTCATTTTGAGCACCAGTGAATCCAGTTACAGCTGGTATTGCTTACCACTATAGTAGGCAATCAGCGGAAACCATCATGGAAAACCTAGAGGCCAACAGACCTGGGTACCTACCATAGTGGTGACTGGATGCACTGGGTTCTGCATTGGTGACGCTACTGTTTTGATCCTGGAATGTTCAAGCAAAGTCCCTCTCGCAGTCAAAGTGCGCAACAAACGTCGCCCATATTGTGTTGTTTTATTTTTTTGGCACGGGTACCCGTCTGGGCTTATATCAAACGGAAACGTGTTGGGGTCCCCCATTTTAAAATGCCCCCATTTGAGCTCCCCACAAGATACCAAAACACACGAATGGCCCGGCCGCCCCGCTTCGGGTTGGGTGACTTACCTTCGGGGGCGTGGCAGAAGGTCGTCATGCGGCCATGAATTTCAATAGGGAACCAATTCAAAAGTGGTTGGTGGATATAAATTCCCACTTAAATGGCGTCCATACCGTGCCCACGTTCCCTCCAGAGGATACCCAAGCAGGATTCCAATGATTGGGCATTTGCATGCACAAACCAGGGTTTGTTGTTGGCAGCCCGTTTTCACAAAATAACCACAGAACACAAAACGGCCCGAAAGCACTAGCCGCGCGCGGTGGCAGCTGGCGCTTTGTTTACGTGGCTTTGCGCAACTAAGCCTTTCCCATCTTTGTCTGCACAGCGGACTCTGGCAATGGAGCTATGACGTGTGTGTTATTCTTCTTTGAAGCGATCCTTTTTAGAGGGAGCAACTATAGATAGTTTGATTCCCACATCAAAAAGGCAACGACACGATCACTTCCACGAGCAGGCGCGCAAACCGCAAGACACAGTTTCACTCCCGCGTTCCGGCTCGAAAACATAAAGCGAACTCATCGACACGTCCAGCAAAAACATAGAGTTTTTGAAGGTCGACCACGCCGATCTCTGCAGATGGTTCCGCGCGAGCCGCTAAAAGTAGCAAACACTCCAGACGGTTGCGCCGGGACCGCACCAAGTAGCAAACACCTCGAATTATTGAGGGTCGACGTTTCGATCGCCCAGTTGGCGCAGGCCCGCCGCCTTCAAAGAGCACTTTATAAGTTGCCGAGTTTCAAGTTCTTTCCTTCACGCGCGAGTTTCCAATATAAGGCACTAAACACCACTCGTGCCAATCTCTTATGCAACTTAGAACTTGCTGTAGCAGCCTCTTATGTAACTTGACAGCTGGCTTTGCAAACCTTCCGTGTGCAACTTGCTCTAGCAAGCTGTGCTGCAACTTGCCAATGCAACTTCCTAGCGCAACTTGCTAGCGCAGCTCGCTACTGCAACTTGCCAGTGCCACTTGCTAACTTGCTAGTGCCAATTTGGCTGGTGCTCTCTTGCTAGTGCTGCAACTCGCTAGTGCTACTTCCCAATGCAACTCGCTAGTGCTACTTACTGTTACCTGCTAGTGAGACTTGCTGCCATCCGCAGGTCTTTCCTGGACCCTTCGCAATGCCGGGAAAAGGATCGCGAAAAACTCACTCACTCGCTCGTGATTTGGGGGGAAAACACCGGGCGGAACTCGAGCAGTTGGCCTGAAAACCCAACCCCCCGCGCCATTTGGCCATGGGTCAAAATCCCGTACCCCCAGTGAACATCCCAATCCCCACTAAAATAGGTTCTAAAATGGGTGGTGAATTCACCGAAAGCCCCAAACTGGGATCCCAAAACGGTTTTGACCCGCCGCCATTTGCAGCCAAAGCCACCCCAGGCCCTGCGCCACCGCACTCCGCTTCCGCGACCATCGTCGCGGAGGCGCACCGCGTGGCCGCGGCTCCGCAGCGCCGCGTGGGCCCAGCGGAAGTCCTCGCTTGCACCATGGGGTGGCTGGGGGTAGCCCGGCGATCCAGCTCCAGCCATTGGAAGGAAGGTGACTTTTCGGAGATGGGTGTGTTTTCCTTGGGGCTTTGTGGGGCTTGAAAGGGCAACCAAACGGAAAACCATGTTGGGGTCCGATTCATAAAAACACACACACGAAAAAAACATATGGGGGTTGATCACAAGGTCATTTACAGGGGGTTAGGGGAAGCCGCAAAAACAAATGATGTTCCAGGGCCCGGAATATTGAGATCATACGAGTCATAATCAAAACCTGGTACTAAAATGCTCTACCCAGAACCGTTTGGAAAGAATTTCATTGCTGGCAAGGGGATTCTCCCTTAACCTTCATCTACCCAAGTTTTGATTACCATATTGGGTGTGCGTCGAAAATAGTAAGTACCCCCAAAATGGGTTGCCCTGGTGGTACCTGCGGTCCAATTCCCCTGTTTCTGTGCGTTTTGTTCCGAATTTTGACCCATGCCCAGATGAAAGGTCAAGACCACATCCTGCTCCGTGACGCCCAGCGCCGCCGCCTTCTCCCGCCGTTGCCAGCCCTGCGCAACCTGACCAGCATGGATGGTGCGCTGCGTTCTGCTCGAGTTGTTTGGCGGGTGTCTGAAAATTTGGGACCCGTCCAGGTTGGTGTCCTTTTGGGTTCCCCTCAACAGTGCGGATTGGTCCCCCTATTTGGAGACAGAACCGGAAAGAAGGAATCTACTAAGGGACCTTCATCATGGGTCTCGGTCTACATCGAATCGCCGAGCTGTCCAAATGTATCAGGATGCCTTGCATGCTCAACCTCAAAACCTCGCCCAAAGGGAATTCAATCGACATTGGCTCAAAGATGATAATTTACATAAAACCACCCCGAAAGGGTCATGTAAGGACGCCTAGGTGTGTTATAGGCCAAAGAAAGTGTATCCCTTTGTCCACGTGTACCAGCATACATGTACCCATGCCGAACTACCCTTCAAATGGCGGCCCAAAATCGCCTCTAAGTGTGGTGTGGACTGCTGCTAACCATCCAAGGTACTCCCCACCAACATGAAAGTGTACTTTTCAAAAGCAGATGGGCTTTCCTCTTGGCTTCCCTTTCAACCAAGCAAAGGGTACCCACAACAAGAAACACACCCATATCTCCTCTAGCTGTCACCAATCTTTCCAGGGATCCTTCTCTTCCTAACATGGCCGAAAACAGTATTGCTCAACTCCCCAACTCCTCAACTCTCGTTTCAGGTTGGTTTCTTTCTCCGCAACCGGATGTGTCTCTTTATTCGATGCTACCCTGTTGGGATGGTTTCAAGGGAACCCAGACGGAAGGCCGGGCATTTGGTGGGTTCCATATCCTATTTTGAGACACCCCGACTGGAGAAAGTGTCTTTTTGGACCCTCCCGCCCGCTTCGTGCCGCCTTCTTATGTTTGATACCAAAAAGGGTCCCAAAAGCTTGACAACCTGGTACAAACCCGGGGGAAGTTGGGCTCCACCAAAAACAAAAGCCTACAAATAGGCAACATGGAGCCCAAACAAACTGAGGGTCCCCACAAGGAGCTTCCTCTACACCTTGTGCCTTCTTTTCTTGCGGTGTCCTTCCATTCATCTGCACGTGCCCCGAAAGTGCCCCACATGGAGCTTCCCCTACTTACCCCGTAAAACTCCAAGCCCTGGGGAAGTTAATCTTTTACAGACATATAGCCCATGTTACCCAAAAAGTTGAGAAAAGTTTTGTGTTTTGAAGAGGTAAGCCTACAAGTTGTGCTTCTTCTTGCCGCTCCCTTCCGTTCTGAGCGTGCCCCAAAGATGCTTGGCGGTGTCCCTTCGAGGGCTCCAGGTGCGGTTGCTGCAACGACCCCCCTGCAAAACGTGTTTTCTTGTGTTGTTTCTTTTTTCCCCTTTTGTTTTAACTTTTGGGGGGTTTAGTGGAAAACACAACTTGATTTCCAAAAAGCCAAAGTCAGATCCAACCCAACAGCAGCCCCAGCATCGATCGGCCTCGCCTCGTGCCAGGCCGAGCGCAGCAAGTGTCCCGCCACCAGGCGCTCGGCGAAGCTCCAGTCCCAAGCGAGGCGCACGCGCGTTTCACTCGACTTGGTTCTCGTAACCCATGGTCATTGCTATAACCTTTATGAAACCAAATGAGTATGGTCATAAAGGTTTAGGCCATTTATAAGGTTCGTAACTCCTGGTCATAAAGGTTTAGGTCATTTTTTATAACCTTTATGAAACCATTTCAGGTCCCCAATTGAAACTCAAGGCTCGATTGAATTACCAAATGAGTATATAGAGGTTTGCCCTCCCACCAATTAACATAGAACCTGACCGGGGGAGCCTTTGGTTCCATGTTAGTTGGTGGGAGGATAGGCCTTTCTTATAACCTTTATGAAACCAAATAAGTAATGTCCGCATAGGATTAGTAAATGCACGGCGGAATAAAGACATATGGGGGGCCCAAAAAGATTAATGAATGCACCTGGAATAAAGACAAGCACCCGCCACCCGCGCTCAAACTTCTCCCCCCCAAAAAATAGGAAAAAGAAGGCGAAAAAGGAGAGGAGAGATAGCCAACCCAACACCTCGTCCTTGGATCTTTGGCAACTTGTTCTTCAGAGCCCCAAATTCAACATGTCCAGCTTCCCAGAAGTCATGTTTTCTTACATGTCTCTTGTTTAAAACCTGCCCACAATCAAAATCACAAAGGGGAGTACTTCAGCCCCCCATTTAACATTGCTTCAGGGGCCCCCGAAATAAAGTCTTGTTGCCTAGCCCCCCCAAGAAAAAGGAAAAGGAAGCTCCAGCAATACTACATAAAATGGAAACTCAAGTCTATCAATACTAAACCAAATGGACACTCAAGTCTACCAATACTAAATCAAATGGAAACTCAGTTCCAAATCTCAAGAGGAAGCTCCAGCAATACTAAATCAAATGGAAACTCAGTTCCAAATCGCAAAAGGAAGCTCCAGCAATACTAAATCAAATGGAAAGTCTACCAATACTAAATCAAATGGAAACGCACTTGAACTGGATCTCAAGATAGTATTCCAGGTGCCCCCATCGTTGGGGGGGGGACCCCCGTTTACTAATCCCATGTGGACAGTATGAGTTGTAATTGGGGACCTGAAATGGTGGGCATCATTTAGGTGGGGATTCATGCACCAGCCACTTGTGAGGTGGTTCCAAATGAAAAATCGTGGCCAAATGGGTATGTGTAATAGGGACCCCGAACATGGATTTGGTTCTCTTGCTTTTCCAAGGCGAATAGAATACACTTGCTAGATGCTGCCAAGACATGCACGCTGCACACCTTTGATGTTGATGGCTCATACGTGGCCACATGGGGCTGGAATAGAGGGCTCGCCCAAGGGAACCCAAACGAGAAGCGTCCAAAAAAATGACTTTGGTCCGTAACCCAACACTGAGATGAGCCCCCTGAAACCAGGTAGTAGAACCACCTACTTAAAACGACAAATGAGACACCCACCCACATGCCAACCCGGTCCTCGTCGGAGTAGAAGAGCGGATGGTTCGGCATCTGCGATGGCAACAGCCGGTGCCTGGTAGCTCGGCAAAAGACACCGACCTGAAAGGGAGAAAACCAAAACGGCGTCCAATTTCCCCAAGGTGATGTAAAAAGCGGAAACATTCGTATTTAACAGGAACCCTTCAATGTTTTCCACGAACCTTTGGGGCAAAAGCCACGCCGCTCCCTTTCGCTCTGCTCCGGGGAACACCTTCAACAATGGTTGGCGGACAACCAACACCACGCAAATGATGCCCAGCCACCTTTCTTTTGGTGTGAAGATACGAGTAGGTGTGTTGCTGTGACAAATTTACCCTGGGTCCACTAAAGTGACATGCTCAAATTGCCTCTAAATGGTTGCTTAAAGGGAACGGGAACCCAGCACCCAGAAGTAGCACCTCAGAATGCTCAAAACTTTCTCAGTTGACAAAACCCGACCCAGTTCACCCAACTGGATTCCTTCTTTTCTGCAAACTTCCATGTCCAAAACCTGAAATACGAATTCGATGCCCAAGTGGAGGACCTTCATAAGAGTGAGCTCGTCCCCCCCCCCCTCTCGAAGGTCCAGGCGCAGCACGGAAGCTTCGCCGCGGCCGGCCGCCAACCTGACTGCCAGCTCGTCCTTAGTCTCGGGCGGGCGGGCGGGCGGGCGGGCGGAGGGGGGGGGAAGGGGAAATGGGATCGTGCCCACTCAAAATATCCACCTTGAAAGTATGATGATGTACTTTCATTTTTTTTCTTTTGGGGGGGGGTTCATGTCAACTCCTGGCAGGAAATAGTAAACTTGCCGCGGGAAACCTGGTCTCAAACATATACCCTTGACAAAGCAGGTGTTTGGAGTAGGCCACCTGTCCTAGAGGGCACTGGATGCTAAGAAGTTCAAAATCACAGCGCTCCTTATTATCAGTACATATCAGTACTTTATGTTCCGAGCCCTATGCTTTGGCTCAGGCTCCTACTACAACTGACTCTAGAATTAGCACGCTGGCTTGTATTGCCAATGAAGTATACTGCAAAGTTGGCCCACTTTGGCCCTCCCTTCGACTTGGGTTCTACTTCCAGAGTCTGTGAGCAAAGAGGCTCACGGGGGAAGCCTTTCTGCCCCTATCGACCCCAAAGCCTCCAGCCATCGGAGGAAAAACCAAATCAAGTGCAACAAACACTCAAAGACTCACAAACATATTTACAAGGAAGACCACCCGTCTTCGTTCTCCCGCGGTCCATCCCTCCGGGCGTCCAGCAAGCGGCCCTCAGCCAAACGCGGCTGGGTCGGGGCATCTTCCACCTCGAGGAAGGCCAGGCGCAAGGGCACCCGAAGCACCTGGGGGTGAAACGGTTAGGAAAAACCGACAGCTTCACGGAGTTGTAACTCAGATTAGGGGAGCCCCTCCGAAAAAGATTGGCGACCACATCCCGGCCTTTTCCCCCCCCCAATAAATGATATTGGATGATAAAATAGCAATAATAAACTCTAATAAAAGCATTTCCATAAAAATATTAACATCAGAAATACATAATTATTAAATGACAATAGGAAATGCTAATAATAAAAGAAAAGGTATCCTAAAAGCATTTTATTATATTGCATCATCTTAATGTAAAATATGAAAATGGGATAGGAGTGGATTAGTAAGAAGATGTCATTTGTCTTTTCTATCTTATTTGGCCCCCCCCCAAAAAAAAAAACAATGGTGACCATGTCCTCTTTTGCCCTTGAACCAACCGGAATCCTGAAAAAATGGCAGCCTCAAAACATGTCCTCGGCCTCCTCGCCGGCGGCGAAGTCTTTGGCCGCCCGCAAGCTCCGCCCCAGGCCGCCCGAACCGGCAGCCTCAGCCACGCCCACGATGTCCACGGCGCCTGCACCAAACCGAGCGGTTTCCTCACACGACCCGTAAAAAATGGGGAAATCACCCCCTGATTTGTGTTGCGATATCCCATTCGTAAGGGTTCAAGGGTGGAGCCTGTACCCAAAGCAAGGCAAAAAATGATGTAAAGGCCGGAATAAATAGAATTGGGTCTTGGGGTACTTTAAAGCAATATTCAGTCATGATTTGGAGCATACTGTTGGTGCGTATTTCCATGCCAAGGGAAAGACCAAGAGAGCGGCCGCACCTATTTCTGGTTGGAACTGTCCACTGCTACCGCGCGGCCTATGTGCAACGATTAAGCTACCCTCCCCTTCGAAACTCGAACTGAAGAAAAGTGGTTGTGGAAAACTACCCCTTCTCTAATATATACAAATACGGGTCATTCCCATGACTAAGTTCAGTCATTCTCATGACTGCTTTCTCGCGCATCGCGGAAATCGGTGCTAAAGCGCAGTGCTCCACAACCATGGATTTGGGGGTTCCCTATTTTGAGACAATCCAAGGATGTCACCCGAGACGTTGATCAATGTTTGAACCGTTTTGATGCCTACAATTGTGCAGCTTGGTTGGCCATGTTTCCGACAAGTGGAAGGATTTCCACCCGCCACTTTTGCAGTCATTTTCCCAGACCCCAGCGAATCAACCGATCCATTTACCGGGCTCCAATGACTCCACACAACTTGCAATTCTTCCAAATCTGAAAGAATGGATCGATCAAGCAAGGGACCTTCATCATGAACAAAAATGCTCGTTTTACCTCGGTGGATCCAATGCCGCTCCGGGCATCTTCAATCTTCCACGTGGGAAATACTCGCTTCTGCGAAACCATCCCCCGACGATTTTAGCACTTCAAAGAAAATTCCCGTGGTATCACGGAAAGTGGCCCGGAGACAAACACGTGCGTGTATCTTTCTCTTCTGGTGTGATTGCTTGGTCGGGTTTTGTTCAGAATCGCATGCCCAGTCATTCTGGGGTCCAAAAAGGCAAAAGGAACGAAAACAACTCCGAACGGATTCCCCTGGCATCCGGAAAAGTAACCCTGAGAAAAATAACTGCATATAGACATATAATGCGTAAATATATAAACACATACATACACATATATATATATATCTACATATATATATATACATATATATATATATACACATATATATATATATATATACATATGTATGGTCCACCTATATATATATACATACATACATACATATGTGTTATCGCCAACGTTCATGGCGCCTTCGACGCCCTCTTGCCGCAGCCACTCAGGCAGTGCAGCCACACCAAAGGCCCAGCACAGGCACAGCCTTCGGCTCATCCGGCGCACTTTTACGGGGCGGACTTTCCGTCCCGGTGGTCCCGTTTTTGTTGATACAGATTATAGAAACCAGCTGTTTAAAACCCCGTTTTTGGTGGACACCTGCCTTCTTGATGTCATGTTTCTTCTGATCCTTAAGAAATGGGATCAGCCGGATAACGCCAGGCAACGGAGACTCCGGGTACCTACGTAGGTCCCCATCGGAGCCCATGTAAAACCTAATGAGAAAAGGGTTGGGTTACGTCTAGTGGAGCACTGGGGGAGAGTTGCCCTTTGGCTCAAAGGAACATGGATCGAAGATCGAAAAGTTACCCACTAGGCCGGGATCCACGCTTGGCATGTGAGCAACACACCAGGATGAAAACAAGAAAAACTCAGAAAGCTGGCAAAGAACAGTGGAGGCCAAATGGACACCGGCAAAGAACCACTGGTTTGACCCACGGAAAAGCCACGGAGTGCTTCGCGTCTTTCGGCCCTTGGAGCTGAGAGGCCAAGCGTGCCAAGCCCAGTGAAGAAAAAATCTGGATCCCTGGCACACATGAGTAATATCTGCTCCAGAAAAGTGCGCACCTCTCATTTCTGGGCGAAATGGAAACTACCACTAAACACTAAAAGGCGAAAAAGCTAAGGAACCGGATGGATGGGCGCCACCAAGATTGGAGCCCACCAACCCAAGACTCCCCATGGTACAATTGGGTGCCCCCTTTCCTCCTTCCCAAACTGTTTAGGCCACCAGTCGCCATTTTGGCTCCGGCCGCTGGGCAGCATGGGTGCTGGGCTGTCTTCGCTTCATGTGCATGCTGGAAGCAGGCCAAAATTCGACCCCAGACGTTTTGGTGGGTGAAAGGGAAGAGAATTCGGAAACCAAAAAGGCAAGGTAAGTCCTGAAATCGAGGCCTGAATTCGAGGGAGCGCAAAAAAGTGTTCCAAGTTCTGCGAAGTCTCGCCATGTTCTTGCTGGCCTCTGATCTTGGGAATAAACGTATCAGCTTCCCCTTAAATGGTGGTTTGGATTGGTGGTTTAGTGGTTAAGGGTCTTTCCCATTTACCCTCTACTAGAAGCAGGGGAAAAATCCCAAACCACAAATCCAAACCACCAACTAGGGGTTTCCGGCATGCTGATTGAAATACATGTTAAAAAGAAAAAACAGTTGGATGGTGCCCCTGCCTGTCAGATCTCCTGGACCCTCAAACTAGTCTGAACAACTGGATATTGCAACCCAAAATTATGGCTGGCGTTCGGATCCAGGCAGTCGGATGGCTTCCCTGATCAAAGTCACCTAAGAGGTGGGTTAAAGAGAAACAACCCCATCTCTGACTTTGATAACCCCCAGAAACAGTGAAAATAACCCTAACCGGCAAGCTTTCTGGCTTTCGACTGTGCCCCAAACAGATCGGCCCGAGTCCCCTCCTCAGATCGCGGAAGGCGTCCGGGGCCATGGCTCATGGCTCACGAGAGGGCCCTCCGAGACGACAGAGAGATCTCCATTGAAAGGCTTTGGACCTCAAACCAATGCTTGGTTTTTCTCTGTCTGAGGGAAAATAATGCTGCTCCAAGTGCAGGACCAGCATGGTGGTGGGCTCGTTTTACCTCGAGGTAAGCTCGTTAGGCAGAAACCGTTGTTGGTAGTTTTAAAAAAAAGAGAGAATCTGCCAACAAAATATAGGCAAAACAAAAGTGGGAAGATCGGCTGCCAAGTTTTGTTTCGTTAGGTTTTCCGACAAACAAGGCCCCTTTGTTCTGTGTGTTGTTGGGCGACAAGAGTGGCTTCAAGACTCGCCGACCAACACGGTTCCTTCCATTTTGACAAATATGCAGAGCTTGTTTTTGTTGCTTGAATCGGCATCTCCTCGAGGCTGATGGGCGAACCTCCCTTTTTGGCTGCTTCCAAATCTGCTCACCATTGGTGTTCAAGCAAACAGGAAATGAGCCACGGTGCCTCGTTGGATGTTGGTGGACCTCCATTTCCTACTGGCAATGCCAATGAATGCTAATGCTGATCCACCTCCTGCCGGATATGGCCGGGTTGAATGGACTGCCCTAACACGCTTGACATGGACAGTTGCTATTGCAAAGAAACGATAAAAGGGGCATGGTCCATGGCACGCCTTTGGAACCAGACGCTTGATCTTCTGCTGCTTTCCTTTCCTTGGGCAAAACATTAAACCGTGCAAGTCACAAGGAACGACTGGCAGAAGATTAGCATGTCGCTCTAAGAGGAATCCATGGCTATTGGTGAGGGAACCTTGTTTTGTTCAAACGGGGCATGATCCAAACACACCTGCGATCATAAAGTTGTCCCTCTTGCCAAGGCGTCTTTTTCAGCTGTTCATAGTCTCGAAGACAATCATCGCAGTTGGCCAACGTGTGGCAAGTTCAAAGGTCTAAGCCCCATTGCAATTGGTTTGCGGACTGCACCCGAACCAAACAACTTGGATTTCTAGGCCAAAGTAAAGCAACCAACTTGGATGTGTTGGCCAGCCAAGAGTAAACCAACCAACTTGGATTGGAGAAAAAGGCAAGCAAGTCACCCGAACTGGTCCTTTTGGGCCAAAATCCGCCAGCTGGCCGCGTCCCTAGCCACGAAACCCGCCTCGAAATCCTCCGCGGCCTCCTCGTACATGCCCTCGGCCTCCGGCTTCGACCGAACGAGGGGCCCCCGCCGGCGTCAAGAACTCGGACTCACTCGGAGCCGCCCTTCACTCGCTGGAGAGTCTCCTTCTGAGCCCAACATGGGGTGACCCCCTTGATTTGGAGAGAAAAAGGACCCAAGGTTTAAAGACTCATGGATTCAAGATGCCTCTGCCATCATCATGTTCGGAAAAGGAAAAGACTCCTCAGATGTTACCAAGGTGTGGTAGAGTTCACTGAAAGGCCTTTCCCTGCTAATCTGCAGGTTAAGCTACATCCACCCGGCCAGCGCCTTGGTTCACTTGGTTTACTTCCCAAAGACCAAAGACATGCTGAAGTGAAACTTGTGTTGTTTGATATGTGGGTTGGGTTTGTGCAAATTACAAAAAACACAGGAGTTTCTGTATATCTATATATATATATATATACACCCAATGCTAAAAAAAAAACACGCACCCCAACCGGCAAAACCCCGAAATTCCCCAAAACCCTTTGCGCCTTGAAGCTGAAAGCACGTCGGAACCTCGGCTCAGTCGCGCTGGCTTTCTTCATCGCCGAGTGGGAGCTTGCCATGGACTATCGATCTGTGTCAAGCCAGGTCAAACCAGCCACTTTGGCCACGTTGGCGCAGTGGATTGAGGGGAACCAGAAGGAGTTTCAACATTGGTCGCACTCTGTACACCAAAAGCCAAAAAACATCTTCAGATTCTGCTTCTGTCTCCGAACCAATACTTTTTGTGTATACGGTTGACTGTTTGCATATTCCGTCAACGCCACAAAAAAAAAAAACAAGAAGAACTCCATGCGTGAAGTTTAGACTCCCAACCCTGGCCTGCGGGAAGGTAGGGACACGAGGATCCCTTCAGAGCCACTGGAGTTAGGTCAAGCACAAGACCCATCCCTGACAGGTGAAACCTTCAGACAACTTTGTTGATATGCCGTCTTCGGGGGTCTTCGACACCCTCATGTGTTCTTTGGGGTCCTAAGGCATGGTACAGAATCAAAAACTAGGGATGTCCACTAGTGGCAAGGGCTCATTCAAGGATCTCAGGCAGTTCCGAAGAGAACTGGTGATCAAGCGGGAGGCGTTAGACGTTTCTCATGAACATGTCACGGAGCCGAAAAGACACAAACGTGTTACTGCCATTTGCTTCAGGCATCGCTAAACAACTCAGGCATTCAGGTATGAATCATGGACATGTCCCTTCCACAAGATGGTTGCTCTCTTTTAACAAACACAGTTCAGCAAAAGAACAGCACAGGGCCAGGAGATGTGTCAAAATGCAGAACCCGCCCCCCAAAAAAGAAGAAGCAATCGTCCTTTAGGTGTCGCTTTAAACCCTCCTAAAACAAGGCACCCCCCAACCAAAACACAAACCCAACTTCGAGGCCTCACCCAGAAGCTCGACCCAAAGCATCCTTTAGGCGGAGCGCATGGCGCGCGCGTTGGTCGGCTGCATGTCGATGACCCGTGAGAAGTCGTCCAGGGCGCGCTTGTGCCTCGCGGAGTCTTCGCCAAATCCCCCTCGGAAGACGGGTGTTTCGACTGAAGGTTTCCCAAAAGAAGACAGGCCTTCGTGTTTTTTTTGCGCCATTTGAGGGGGAGGGGGTAGAAAGGCTTCTGAAAAATAGGACCCGGTCATGGCAAGCCTGTCCTTTTGGCTTCGGATCCCCCGCGTGCCCCCTTTGCGAGGGTGCTTTGGTGCCCGAAGGACCAGCCTTTCGGGAGACGGGTCACATGGAAAACCCAACTTGCTGGATCCGACCCGGTGCAAACCCTGCAGCAACAACAAGGACACTGGATGTTGCCCCATGTTTCTGAGGGATGTCGCTGGTTTTTGTCCACTGTTTGGTGGTTGAAAGGACAACCGAAGAAAACCCATCAAGGCAAGGTTAGAAAGGTAAGCTATGTAGGAAGGATAGTTGCGGCCTTTTGTCTGGTTCTTCTTGGAGTGCTCTCGAATTCAACAACCTGGATATCCAAACATGTGTCCAACTAGATAAGTCTAAGGCCTAGCCCAGCCTTCAGGTCAGAAAAACCGGAAGTCTAACAAACCAGCCACTTAAATTCAAATTCTACAGCAGCCCTTGCTTCAAGTATGCCGATCCATGTCCCAAAAAAAGAAGAAAAAGAACTGCTAGTTTCGATGAGCAAGACCAAAAACGAAGCAAACCCTCCAAACCCTCCAAGCCCTCCAAACCCTCCAAACCCTGCAACCCTCGACCCCACCCACCCCCACCCCCGCAAGCCGGCTCCAAATTCTGGGTGCCGGGCTCGCCCACAATCTGCAGGCTCTTGGCGCCTGAGCTGCACGTGGGGCCAACAAATCTAGTTGCCTTTTTTTCTCAGGAAAACCACAACCCCAGTGAACCGCGGGGAATGCGAGAAAGCACCAGTGAGAGTTGAATCTGCGTGCTCATGTGGAGCTGCCTTTTAATTGAAAGCGGTTGAACCTGCAAAAACGGGGCGGGGGTCTCTGCCGGGCATCGGATTGATGCGGAGGACCGCTCTAGTCGGAAGCCCCCAACTTAAAGCATTTCCCTACTAACAGATGAACCCCTGATTAGTACGGTCCTCCAGAGTAATCCCAGGTCAACATTAGGGAACATTTAGTTGTAGCACTTGGAAAACGACAATAAAAGGGAACGCCCCCTTTTGACGAGTCCGAATTTCTCATGGAGCAGACAAAACTCGGCCAATTTAACACCTGTTGAAGCCGACAGGGCAAAAGAACAACATCCAACAAAAACACAAAGCTTATTTGAACAAATACTGAACAAACATCCGCCAAACCAACGCACAAACTATTTAAAACACCGGGGAAAACAAACGGTCATAGTGGTCCGTTGATCCCACACTTAAAAAAAAAAGCAAACCTTCCAACAAAATATATAACAAATCCCTCTAGACGTCCAAAAGTCTAAGGAACCGCGTGGCTGGCAACCGCCAAGTGAGTCAGATACCCGAAGCTGTGTACAAAACGAAGAATTGGAAGAGCAAATCTCCGCATCTATTTCTGGTTGGGACTGTGCCCTGCTCACCTTCATTCACTCGGGTTTCGCTTGTGGCTCATCCAGTTGGGGAAAACGAAACTGCCGAAGGGCTGAAAGAAACGAACAAACCCATGTTGGTGTTTCTCAGAATAGGGATCGGTCCCCAAAAATGGCAACGGTGTCCTTGTAGTTTCCCTTTCAAACCATCCCAAGGCGAGACCCTCTTTCACTAGTTGTTCCTTTTTCAAAACAAACCACTTTTTTCAAACAAAAACACATCTATAAGGAGGTCAACCACACCCATGGGCAAAAAGGATCAAAGACCATCCCAAAAAACGGTCCTCACAGGAAGGCCTGAGGGCCCGCCGCATCCCGATCGGCCGTTCCGGGGCCCGGATCGCAGCGATCGATCGGGGCGCCCGGCGTTCGTGCAGATAATGCGGCCGCCCCTCCGCGAGACTAATCGCCTGGTCGTAGGCTGGCACCGCCTGGTTGCGCGAGCGTCTATGGAATGGAGCCTCGGAATATTTCCCCCCCCCAAGAAAAATAACACTAGCCCAAAAGAAGCGCCCCGAAAAAAAAAAATGGACAAACCGCAGAAATGGTGGACCCCTCCAGAAACCCATTCAAAACTTGGATATCCGGCCAAGTTTGTAAGTGGTTCGCCTGGGGTACATTTCACCGTTGATCGGGTGAACTCTACTTACGGGGGCGTCTCAATGGGTTGTAACCTAGGCACCTGGCCCTGCCATGGGCCCCCGGCGAGCTGATGCTTGCCGAGGTTGGCGTAGGAGACACCTGGGTTTGAGCAGCTGCTGGCAGCCGGGTTGACAGCTAGGAAACTATCGAAAGCTGCCAGATGGCTTCTTGGCCCCTCAAAGCGACCCAGCTGAAAATGGGAAATCACCTCAAAATCTCGAGGCGAGAGGCCATTGTTGGAGCTAAGTGGTTGCCAGGTCTTGGAGACCAACGCAGGGCAGTACAAATCCCTAGAGGGAGTACCTGAACATCTCTCACAAACCAAGTATGACTATCAGATAGCAACGAGATTTTGCCTACCCAGCAATTTTGTCTAGACCCCTAGTTCAGGGGGCCCAAAGTTTAGACAGGTTGGTGTGCTTTGAAAATTTGCAGGAGCTGACTAGTACTTGTCCTTGCCGCAAGATCATTCCACAAATCCTCTGGCCCTGAAGAAACCCACGTTTGGAGGACGGACGCACACCCCGATGAGAAACCACTGATTGATTCATCTGGGGACTGGGTGTCGGGCCCAGATGGTAGTACACTTCCGCCTCATGCCCGGAGATGGGCCCCTGACGCGTTCCGACGGCTCATACCTTGGTTTGGACCTTCTAAGGGTCCCATTCTGTTCTCCCATTTCCTTTCAGAGAGCGATGTTCCCTACGCCGGGCCCCGCCGAATTTTGTACAGAATCAAGTGTGCCGCACATGACCTATGCGAACTCTGCATTTTCATCCGATTCCAAAAGCCGGACCCGGATCAGTCAGCCAGTACTTGACAAAGATACAAAGCAGACTTAAGCATGCTCCCAAAATGGCAAATACCAATTTTCGCATTCCGGAAAATCGCTGGATTCGGATCAGTCAGTTCTGGACGAAGACAAGAGCAAGGCTGACTGATTTCTCTGCCAGCCACTCCAAGCCGGCCATTTCAACCACGCTGGTGCGACGCGCATCACACACTTTCCAAAGCAATGCTCATAGACGCTCGTCCAATGGATTCAGCCGTGTTCAAAACCACCGTAGGGCTTTTGCATGACTCCAGGAGAAAAGGAAATAGAAGCATGGGTCTGTCTCAAAATGACCATTTTGAATGGTTGAAAGTGGAGGACAAAACTAGCATGGAGGAGAGCGGGCAAAATGGATGCGCCCTTTTGTCGAGGCTCAGTACCCGTTTTGGTGTTGAACGGAAACCAAAGGGAAACCGCCGATTTTGTGTGGGTACCGGGCAAAAGCAGCACAATGACCGGTGGTCAGGGTACCCTCTGCTCACATTTGCACCTGCCCCAGGAAAAAAAAACAGATCAACTGGGTTGGTTGAACTGACCTCCTGCCCGAGATTGCTCAATTTTGCTCGTAAGAGGGTGAGTTGACACCACTGGACGGGTCCACAGGAACGCGAAGGGAGGAACTCAGACCGGAGAAAAAGGTTGGCACTCAACCTCTCCACGAAATCCATTCAAGAACATCATCCTTGGGCGCGCTTTTTTGGGGGATACAGGCGACTTCAATTGGTTTTCCGCAAGAGGAGCCTGTGAAACACATGATCCATTGAATACATTCAGCTTTCACTCGCAACCTTAAAATTAAGCAGCCCAACTTTCAGCTAGCAATTCCAAACCACCAACCTTCAATGGGTACGTGGCAAACTAAGGAGACCCCAAACATGTGTTGGGTTTGCCTTGGGTTTCTTTCCGATCAAGCCAATTTGAAACTCGGAAAATGATGGCAGCCCGCAACCGGACCCTCCCAACTAACTCGCCGGCTGGGACGCCGCCTGGGCGAGAGCGGCCTTCAAGTCAGCGATGGACCTCGCTATGGCAAGCGATGCTGATGGTTTCTATGCCCGGCATGTAGAAGATTGTCACACGCCAAGAAGAACCTACGACCCGATGTCCGCTAAATGGTAGCTAAAAAACAAGGCCCTACAGAAAGTGGCAATCCAAACAAACCCAAGTCCCCCACACCCCAAAACAAATCATGTCCCACGACCGTGTCCCAGCCCCAGCCCCCAGAGAATCTTGGCCCAAAAGCAGGGGCACACTGAGTCTGTTTCTTATCTAGCCTAATCCTCAAAATATGAAACCCTTTCGGAGAACACCCCAGCAGGCATTTCCCAAAATCGTGATCCCCTGAAACGTTCTCCTCTTTCTCCTCTTCTCTTGGTGTCTCTTCTACGAATCAGTTTGGGCGTGAAGGTAGATTCTGCTTCCCTCTGAGTGGTTTGGATCGGTGGTTTGGAGGGCTTACCATTTACCCGAAAACAGGAATTAGGGGTTCAATGCCGAATCCAAACCACCAATCCAAACCCCAATTCGGGGTTACCTGAAGGGGGGGGACCCTTAGTGAAACAACTGAAGCTGATGTTTCGCTCTAAGTTTCAGCCCCCACCAAAAGTAGAATCCTCCCAATTTGATGATGAAACTCCTTACAGGGAAACAACGCTGGTTACAATAACCAAACCATTGCTTCAATGGAGTTGGACTCCCAGAATGACGACTTCCAAAGCATCTCCTTCTTAAACCACAAAAAATAAGGTACCGACCCTTGCACCCCCAAGATCACATCTTCGAGTCCCTCAAGTCTCCGGGAGCCGGGCTCCGCGTAATGCGTCTGCGCGTACCGTGTGATGCCACGCCTGCGGGCCACGCGGGCCATGCGGGCCATGCGAGCCGCGCGCGCGAAGGCGCGAGGGAAGCGAGCCATCGACAGAACTCGAGAAAGGCGTGGACGGGCATCATGAGAGTCATGCGATTCACAGGGTTGATCAAAATGCCCCAAATTGACACAATGGGCCACGTTGCCCATTTAGTGGTGCAAGTTGGTGCAAGCTATCGTTCTTGGTGCTTTCCCCAATGGTCACCCCATGCAGAGAATCTTTTGATGAACCCCCACATGACGTCAAGAAACAACTTGTGGGAGAACCATCATTGACAGTTTTTGCGTGGCTGTGGGTCAAAAAACATGTACCCAAAATGGGTTGCCCTGGTGAATGGAAACTTGGACTGCAACCTGCGGTCCGATTCCTGGTGGTTCAATTTTGACCCACACCTGTGTTTGCTAGGTGGACCTGGTGCGGCCCAGCATCATGCGATTCAGAGCAGGTGATTCCATCTCCCTGCATTAGCCAGGGCTTCCCAGCCTTCAAGACCAAACGACAGATCTGGCTGCCAAAATGACGCCCCAAATGGGTGATTTGCTAAGAGGTGTGCCCAAAACACACACTGACATGGCAAAGAGGATCTGGGAGAGCCCCTTTTTTGGGGTTTCTGAAACGACCGTTTCACAAGGTTGGGACCCCTTCTGACAGCTGTCTCTGGAATGTACAAGGGGGGGTGGGTAGTGAGCCCTAGGGTTCCTTACCCCGAAAAACATTCGTGAGCTCCCCTTGTTGTTGATCTTTCTTCAGCTCTTTCCCCCATCTCCCAAACTCATCTGGAGAATGTGGCCAAACCTCATATCCCCCCTTTTTGGGCTGGGGATACTGGATTATCTGGCTCTGTCTCAACACGGGGAACCTACCCCGCCCCCAAAAAGTGGCGGGTAATTATCGTGCGTTGGTCTTTCCTCCACCACCCAAAAACAAGGGGTGCCCTTCCTCAAAAAACAGAGAAGAGCCTGTGCGCTGGGCTTCCTTCACCACCCAAAACACGGGGAAAACCCTTCGCCTCAAACAAAAAGAAGAATAAGAAGCAGAAGAACCACTCTCCCCAACCACTGACCGGTCGAGTTGGGCATCCGCTCCTATAGAGCAGCTCCCCGTCCCTTCCGTCGATCTGCAGCGCGCAGCTCAGGTCCGCCTGCGAGGCGGCTCGAGTCGGAAGTCTCATACCTTACCCTCCCAACGTGAGTCTTCTGTGGAAAGTGGGGTTCAAACCACAAACCAAAACAAAAACCCCGAAGCAATATTCTGAGGGGCCCCAGAACAAAGAAGCTCCCAACATGGTTTGGTGCAAGAAGCTCTTTTGCAAACAGAAAGGCGAGCTGTTCCAAAGGGCAGCTGTCCACCACCCGGTACTCAAAGTAAAGTTCATTGTTTAGGATATGATATTGAGTCCTGACGAACAAAGGAGGTATGTTCCATGAAAACAAAATTACACCAATGCACCCGCCTAATTGTGGTTGGTTGTAGGGGGTAGGCGTCAACCCCCGTTCTAATCATGGACTTGGGACCCAACTATGGTTTTAGTGGCCAGGGAATCGGGTTGGGAAAAGTTGTGAGACCCACTTTGGCTCTCTCAAAACGCAAAGGGGCTGATGGTAGCAAGCGAAAGCCATGTGTCGCCTTGGGCAATGCCCGCATGAACATCCAAAACAGGTTCCTGATCAAACGGATCTGGTCCCGCAAGAAGCCAACTGTGTGCTTCTCGCATGGGACCTTTTTGTTACTGTACTTAGGATTACTGTTAGTGGGGCCCCCGACGCAATTTCAGCCAACCTGGCCATTCCTTAGGCCGTTCCCAACGGTCAGCCTGGAACCCTTGGCATCGCCGGACTCAACTGTTTGCTGGTAGCGTAAAATCATGGAACACCAAAAAGGCAGAAAGTCGTTCTGCAGAGAGTTAGAATAGAGGGTTTCAACTTACACCCCCAAGTACTCAGAAGTCTTGCAATATTCAGGGCATCCACCGGATCCCAAAACCCTTTAAATTCCCTAACCAGCCAGCTACTTCCTTTTTTGGGGTAGTTCTTGGCAAACACCAACCAAGCGTGATGCATGCACCTCCCAAATTATTGTACATGCGTCCTTTGGTGGGCTTCTGTGTCTCTAACATCTCCTGAATCTCCTTCTGGTTCCTATCTGCGAATGATCTCTCTTTTGGCAGGGCGATGTTTATATAAGGGGTCCTGGCGAGTTGGTTGTCCTTGCCAAAGCAACTGCAAGGGATGGTTTATCTGTTGCCCAAAAACTATGCCACAATCCCTAGAGCAAAATGACTCAAGAGGGGATCGGTTCCTTACGCTTTACGCAACCCAGAAGAAAGGATTGCCTTTGGTCAGCTCACTTTATAGTTTCTCTTCTTCCTTCAGTTGGACCCTCCGACCCTGGAACTGTCTTGACCCGCCTCCGCCCGGTCGTACAAGCCCTGCTCAAAGAGGCACTGCCTCGATGGTTCTTGTTCTTTCCGGCCAAGGGAGTCGTGAGGTGCTCGAATATGCTCAAAATGGGATGGTGGATCATAGAACTCTGAAATTGGGTATGTGACCCTGGAATACCTGGAGTCTCCCTCCAAATATATGGAATATAATGCACAACAATAATATATCTGACGGAATAAAAAGCATGCAGAAGAATACAGGAGTTCGGGACACAGGCTAATGGTTTTCAAGACATGTGGCATCACGCCGCTGAGAGAGAACTCTGTGGTGCTTTGTGTCCCGTTCAGCATCCACCTCAAATCGATGCACAACAACCACGAGAAAAGCAGGTTCTATGCGGTTCTGGGTCACCGCAATCTGGATGCCGAATCTACCGGTGGATTCTCACTGAGACTGCTAAGAGTGCAACAACAAAATGCTGTCTAGACTCAAGGACATTGGAAAATTGGGCTGGTTGCCTGCCTCGAAACCTCCCTGCAATGGGGATGGATTCCTTCTGGAGAGCACTTTTTTTAAAGGTTGCTTGCCCCCTGAATCAGAACAAGTTGTTCAGAAAGGTCTGACAACCTGCTGGAGGTCTGAGGGGTGGCAAAAAACACAACAACACCTGGCCCAAAAAGTGATCAAGGCAAGGTTTCACACCCACCCGAAGGGGCCCATCAGGAACCTCACCCCGGCCCGTGGGTGTCCGGCGCACGGTTGGAGAGGTAGAGGGTCTGGGTGCCGTCCGCTTCGATGGCAGCTGTGAGGTCGATCACCGCCTAAGGCGGTAGGAATCTTTGAGTCCTCAATGGATGGTTTCCTTTTGGTTTCCTCTATTCATCTCTAATGTCGACGGAGTCTCGGGCGTTCCTTCGCCAAAGCTGGAGGATTTGCCCCAATTTGCAAAAACGTCTTAAGCCCGTTTTGGAGGTCTGTTTTTCGGGGACCCCCAAATGGTGGTGTTCCTGTTAGTTTCTTTTAAAACCCCAAAAAAGTAGCCTAAAAAACAAAAGAAACTTCTAACCTAACCGCGAATTCAAACCAAGTAAGGTGCGTACTCAATTTGGCACATTCCTCCATGCAATTTCAAGGCCCCCAAAGCGCGCAAAAAATTCAAACCTAACTGCCCCCCCCCCCCTCCCCCGGACCCCCACTGAACCCTCCCCCTGAAAACGCTATTGAAGCCACTCCGAACCACTCCGTCGATAGGCCCCATTTTGCTTTCAAAGGAAGAAGACCCTCCTAACTCCTAACCTTAGGGTTCTCCTTGAGCTGCTGGGTAAAAACCACCAGCCGAAAAGGAAAGCCAGAAGCAAAAATCAAAAAAAGGCTACAAGAACCGGTTTTCAAATCCCCAAGTTGCCAATCCAAACACCAACCAACCAACCCAGGGGTCATCTGAGCTGTGGAAAGCCGGTCCCCGCCTGCGCCATGTTGCCGAAAGCTCGCCACGCCAAGCCCCGCTCGCTGAACACCGCGGCCTGCCGCGTCAGCTCGCTCGGCGGCCCGTCTTTTCCATGGGAAAAGAAGGGCGCTGGTTTTCTGCGGTTTGAAAGGGAACCCCCTCAAAGAAATGCTGGACAAAGGAAGCACCCACTGGAGGCCTGGGAAAGCAAACCGTGCTTAACGTCCATTGTGGACCATTTAGGTACGTGTCGAAATAGGGGGGGGTACCCAAACAGACCTATTGACTTGTTATTTATCCGTCTACCTATCCGTTCATCACCTACCTGTTCATCTGTGTATCTACTTATCCATCTGTCTATCTATCTACCCATCTGTGCATTTACACGTCCGTATATTTGCCCACCTATCCATCTATCTATCTGCTTGCCATCTATCTAGCTATCAAACGATCTATCCATTCTTTGAACGTGCTTTCCTCTTCATTTGGTCCATCTGTTTGTCGGATGTCACTTAAAGTCTAACAACCCCAAACCTGTCGGGTGGGGAAACACCTTGCTATCGAGGCCCCTCTCTCCCGCCTCCTGGCTACCCAGGTCGATGGCCCGCGACAAGTCCTCGATGGCATCCTCCTGCCGCCCTCAGGAAACAAACTTCTCAACAAATCCGCAAGAAACTCTAGGAATCCCAGATCCAAGCAGAACGTCTGGTTCATGACTAGGGGTGTGTCCCCTTTTAGTGGGAATCCTTCACGTTTGGAGGGAACACACCCCTGTTAATACAACATACTTGATCGTCATCAAAGTCACCCCAGCAAATAGGATAAAGGGAAACCCCGGCTAACTTTGACTCCCCCAGAAACAGTCAAATAATGACCCCAATAGGCGAAACAATTGAAATTGTGAAGCTGGGTCCCAGAAAGTGATCATTTGGAGGGATTCGTGCGATTACATTTACTTGTATTTTTTTTGGGTGAGGGGGGGGATGCCCCCTGCCTAGAATGGACTCACAATAGCGTGGTAGCTGGGGGCTGTTTTGGCCCCCTCATGGAGTTGGGGTTGGTGCGCGCATGTTACGTCTCCGTTTCGCCCCTTTTTTGAGTTCCGTGTGAGTCACTTGTTTGTGGGGCTTCCCCCAGTTGCTCAAAGGAGTCCGGCCCTGCCCCCGCCTCCTCCACTCCCGTCTCCCGTCTGGGCTGTTTCAGCCCCAAACATAGAAGCTCCAGGATGCGTTCGGAGTTGGACTGGTTTGGCCGCACCTATTGGCTTCTTCCGAGCACCTGGCCCATGCGGTGGTACACCACCCCGCGGTTGTAGTAGTGCCTGCCACCCCAGAACTTCCGTTGCAACATATGCGTTCAAGCCCGCACCGTGTTCATGTCACTCCTCGCAAAAATTGGGAGATCGCCCCAAACGTGGTGTGTCACTTCCCTCGTTTCAGGGTTGCTTTCTGTGGGTCCCGGTGGGTAGTTGGGCCAATTTGGCCATCTGTCAAAACGGGGGAGCCCAAAACAACGGCAGTGCGTTCCCTTCAGTTTCCACCAAACATCCAACCCAAAACGAGTTCCGAGCCCCGCAAAAAAGAAGCCACCCATTTAGGCGGTGGGGGGGTTCGGCTCAGCCGGAGGGCCTTGCCTGCCCTTCTCGGGCTCCAGGTCGATCACTGCATCGAAGTCCAGCAAGGCCGTCCTGATTTGCTGGTATCCATACCCAGTGGGCAAGGGGAAACCCATCCCATGGGTTTACCCCTGAGAAAAAATTACCGAAGGGTTACCTGTGGTTTATTTGAGAGCTAAACATGCCAAAGGCTGTAGCGAAACGCCCATCGGAAGCACTGGGATAGGCAACATGATAGGAAGCGAAACCCCCAGTTCTGACCTTGATAACCGAGAAAACAATGACAAAGAAGCGATTGGCAAGCCCCGGGCGATGTACGGGCCGGGGGGGGGGGGGAAGGAATCAAATAAACCCCCATGGTGTGTTTTCCATAAGTAAATAGCTAAACACCATGGTTGGTATGGCTGCGGTTGTTTGAGAGTACCCTATTTGGGGTTGGTTGAAAGGGAAACCAAAGGGAAACACACTTCTTTCTTTTGGGGGGGGTGATGTTGACACATACCCATACGTGTTGCTTGGGTAAGGGCAATTGTATTATCGAAACCCGGAACTGTAGGTTCCCAGTGTGCCCAATTACCGTATATCGTTCGCATAAGGTCCTTCGCCCGGAATCGATGTCGCAGTGCTTGTGGCCCCCCCCCCCCAGGACAACTTGCGAAGTGACACCCCCCCCCGACCAAAATCCATTCTTTCTAGGGGTTGCCTCCCCATTCTTTTCAGCCATCGTTCTTCTCAAAAACCAGCCAATTCCCCAGAGTTTTGGTGGTTTTTTAGCAAGAAGGATCCCTGGAAAGAATGGGGAAGTTACCCCCAGAGTCTTGCGAGCGAACCAAGGGCCCCCGGCTCGTAGTCGCCCATGTCCCGGTACACCAGGCCCCTGGCCTGTCAGCCAAAACGTGCGCAGTCGGTTGACCAAAGTCCCGCCAAATGCCCCAGTGAACATCCCAATCCCCACTAAAACAGCCTAAAATGGGTGGTGCACCTACCCCAAAATGGTACCGAGCCTCAAAACATGGGTAGCACTGTCCTGGCTTCCCTTTTCAACCAGAGGGTACTGATGGTTCAAAAGACGACACAGCCGTTTTGTGTTCGCACCCCCTTGTTTGTTTTGGTATTTTGTTTGTGAAACGTTCTCCGTGAAGATTCTCTAACCATGGAACAATTAATGGCTTCGCTTCTCGTTAAAAAGACCTCCAAAAAGGTACCGCCTGAGAAAAAGAAGAAGAAAAAGAAGAAACAAAACACGGGTTCCTGTGTTCACTTACGATTCCGACGAAAGCAACTTGTGGTCAAAATGTTGCCCGAGGTTCTTGTTCCCCAGACAAAGGTGAAAAGCTTTTGAGACCTTGACGAAACATGGCCGACATGGAGGGAAACGCCTCCCTGTCCTTGTTGAACAAAAAAGTCAAGCGTTTTCTTGCAAAGTCGAGCGGATTGTTCAGAATCGGAAAAGCATGCATATTTCTCAGAACGAACCTACAAAGGTTTTGGAGTCTCAGGTAGTGGCAACCAAGAGGCGTTTGCCTTTTTCCAACGCCCTGAAAGGGGAAATGAAAACTCGGAACCTCTAACTTAGAACACCGAAGGAACACAGAGCAGCTAAAACTCCATCTCCTTTGGGCTTCTTGGTCTCCCCTTGCGTTTGCTCAAAAAACCAAAAACCGGGGCCCCGAGAATGGCGCCGTCTTTCCCTTTTCCTTTTAAAACGACACAAAACCCAAAATCCACGGGCCGCGCCCGGTCCGGCACCTCGCCTCGTGCAGGGCTTCATCGGCCGGGACACCGCCGTTGAAGGCCTCCAGCGCACCTCGCTGCGCGGCGCTCGCGGCGCTCGCGGCGGGTGGGTTTGGCGCGGGGTCGAGGCGGATCTCCGGGTCTGGGTCAAATGGACCCAAAGCCATGAGGAGCCAAATGGACCCAAAGCCAGGAGCGCTCAAGTTCTCATCTCCCCAAAGCACATTTGGGCGGTGTTGCCTTTTTTGTGTCGGAATCGGAAAGTCCCCCCAAAAAGAAACAAGGCGTCGGAGTTCCTCTCGGCTTCCCTTGAAAGCTACAGAAAAGAAAGGGTATTAGGCAACCGAAGGAACCATCCGAAATAAAAACCGAATCCACTGGAAGGTCATATGTTGGCACACCGGGTGGGCGGATCCCACGAAAAGAGGGGGTCAAACCCCCCAAGTGCAACCAAGTTCATGTTGGCCGCGCTCACGAGAGGGGGGCGGTCGTCTGATTGAAGTGTGTGGAGCAACCAAGTTCATGATATTATTTTCTCTAAAGTCGTAACCGAAGAGGGACACGCATTTCGCGGGCCTTTCGGGACAAAAGCAAAACTGTTTCAAGAGAATAGCGTAGGAAATAATCCTTGTCATACCAAAGAGGGTCATCCCTGTGGCGATGCTATCAGATTATCACTTCACAGTGACATCATCTGGCAATTATTGCGGAAAGTGGCAACCCAAAAGCCTATGTTCAACAACCACGGACCAAAGACTCCTGGGGGTGGTTCAAATGACCCCGGTTTTGAGATTAGAACTGGTATCAACGTTGCCTCACAGGCTGGCCAGCCCTCATGCTCGAGCAGTAAGGGGCACGATTGCTTCTATTTGATTCAGGTGGGCTTCTTGACATCTGACGGAGCTCCCTATCTTTCTCCTTTAAACGTCTCAAAGGGAAACTCCATATGATCCATATACATATATATATATATATATATATATATATACTGTATACATGAGCTCCCTTTGGTCAAAAGGACATGTTCAAAACCGCGGGTTTAAGGGCAGCTGTATGACATTCTAAACCTTGGCACCATGTCCATCCCCTGCAGGCTGGCAAAGGTCGTGAAATTGTCCAAACAGCAAGCGCTGGTTTCAGTCAGAAAACCATTTTCAGCTTCCCTCTATCTGGTGGTTTCGTTTGGTGGTTGGGAAGTTGGGGGGTGGGTTCCCATTTACCCTCTACCAGAACCAGGGCTTCAGATCCAAATCCAAACCACCAATCAGAAACACAAATTTAGCATTGTTCAACATCCTTTTAACAGGGATCCTTACATCACACCTGAACATTGCCTTGTCAATGGTGGTTTCCCTTTATTTTGGTGGAAAATGCCATGTTTGAAATGGGCAAAGTGTATCTTTTAAGGAGCCCTGTCTAAGAAATGGGTACTAATGAGATGGAGGTCTGCGGGCGAGGGGCTCCGCGGCTTTTCAGGTTGATTTGAATTGAAACCAAAGGGCAACCCACCAACAGAAATGTTCTTGAGCCCGCGTCAAAACCAACAAGGGAAACCAAAAGGGAAACCAAGAATTCCAAGGGGTCCCCCTGTTCTAACCCGGTGATTCCCCATTTCCCATAGTGGGTACTGGTCAAGACAGCTGAGGCCAACGGAACCCCACAGATTTTTGCAGTCGTCAAAATCCAAAGGCGAATGGCCCCACAGTTTGCGTACCACCAAAAGGTCTTCACAAAGAGTACCCTTCCTTCCATTCATGTGGGCGCCTCTGGGAAGGCATGGAAGATCAGTTTCCCCTTCAGGGACGGAAGGGCAGTGAGTCCGCAAACCACCGACAAGGCAAACCAACAATTCTGAGGAAGCCACTGTCCCTGGCGTGCCTTCACATTCTCCCCGCCTGGTCTATGTCGCAACCTCCTTCCTTTGGGGTATCAGACTCTTTCAGGAATCTTGCGAAGTGGCCTGCAGTTGTGTCCACAGCTCGCCCCGCCCCCCCCCCCCTTTTTCCCCTGCGCATTGGCCACGCGCACGGCGCTCTTCGGCGCCGTCCGGCCGCTCCCCTTTCCGACGCCCAGCAGCCGCGCGATGCCCTGGCCGCGGCCCAGGCGCGCGCGGGCGTCGGCCAGGGAGGACGAGAGGCCCTTCCTGGGCGATATTTCCGCGGCCGTGGCTGGCTTGCTTGAACAGATTTCAGGCCCCAGCAAGGGACGTTGACAGGCATAAGGCTGTTCGCATGCTCTCGCTCATTGTTGTAAGGCACGCATTGGATTGAAACGCCAAACCGCATTCTCAAAAAAGCCTGTTGCTGAAGCAGAACTCCGAGGCCGGAAAAGAGAAACAACTAGTCATCAAGGACTGATACTAAAGTGGTGTTGAAAACACGTGTTTGCAACGCCTACCACACATCCGTACAAAATTAATTACTCGGAGTGATCGAGGGAGGGGGAACTTTCCTGGGGCCCAAGTGAAGGGTGTCCGAAAAATCTACTTTGAAGGGTTCTCCATTTTGCGAGCTTCCCTCAAACCACCATGAGGGAACTATCCGAGAGGATTGGCCCAAGCCCTCGTTTTGATATGTCCTGTATCGTTCGAACAAAATGTTGCCCAACCCTGTTTCTGGGGAAGAAATTTCAGCAACTCACTCGAGACAGAGCCGGTCAAGCCATCTACCCATGGTCATGGAAGCTCCCCTCCTCTGTGGAGTGGTTGTGGGTGGGGTTGGGTTGGTTCTGCGTTGGTTCTGGGTTGGCTGTTGAGAATTGTTTGAGGCTTGGTTAGTTTAGAGTGGGTGTAGGCTGGGTTTGGAGCTAGCCGGACGGCGCTGGCTCGGGTTAGCCAGGGGACAGGGATGCACAGGGATGCACAGGGATGCTGGGATGCTGGGCTGGCCGGCAGAAGGGAGGGATACTATTTGGGGTGCGGCATCGCCTTGGTCGTCCTCTGCTTCAGACTCCTCACTCCTGGACGCGACGGATCTTCTCTGCAGTGTGGCGTAGCATGCTCGTGGAGCGTCTCTCTTGGCATGCTGCCGGGACCGAGGTCTTGGAGACCTGGATGTTGCCCTGGTCAATGGATCCGCACCGTCAGGGCGAACCCCAGAGGTGCCCATGACACCAACTCCGCTCGAGCCCCGGCGCCTGGCTGCTGGCGCATACATAGAGATGCCCGCGAACCGATAGTCGGTACCATGTTCCTGTCACTTGGAGTTTAGAGTGGGTTCAAACGGAGTTTGGGTTGGTTGGGTTGGTTGAGTTGAGGATAAAGGCGGGCTTAGTGAGGTTGTTCAGGGTGTGGGTTTCAAGATGGGTTTAAGGTATGTTTACGGTGGTAGGTTTGGGGTGTGTTTAGGGCGAGGCCAAGGTGGATTGATGGATTTGCTTGGTCATTTTCCAGTCACTTTTGGAGTTGTTTAAGGTGGTGGGTCCACGGTGCGCTTAGGGTTTTAGGGGTGTTCAGGTTTGCTTTAGATTGGTTTAGGGTAGAGGGTTAGAAGGAGATCGGGTTGGCGCAAGGTTGGCTTAGTTGGAATAGGGTGGGTTTCAGGTGAGTTTAGTGTGGTTCCGGCTGTTTAGGGTTGGGTTGGGTTCAGTGTTGGTTGGGTTTAAGCTTTACGGGGTGCAAGGTTGGTTCAAGGTAGGCTTAGGGCAGGACGTCCTTGGTGCATGAATCGCCACCTTCACGAGGATATTTGGTTGGTGCCTTAGTGAAGGAGCTGAGTGACAGCTGGTTTAGGGTGTTCAGGGTTGGTTTAGGGCGGGTGTTGGTTTTGGTTTTTGGGGTGAGTTTAGGATCAGGGTGTGTTGGGGGTTGGCTTGGGGTGGGCTGAGGGGTCAGTTCAGGGTTGGTTTAAGTTAGGTTTGGAGTGGGTGTAGGGTGGCTTAGGGCGGGTTTAGGTTCAGGGTTGTGACTTTTAGGGTGGCTTGCGGGTGCGTTGGAGGTTGGTTTAGGGTTGGCTTAGGGCTGGCCGAGGGGGGTGGGTCGGCTTAGGCTTGGCTTCGGGTGGGTTCAGACGGAGTTTGGGTTGGTGGCGGGTTTAGTGAGGTTTCGGGTGGTTGGGGTTATGTTTATGGTGGCTACCGGTAGGTTTAGGGTAGGCTTGGGGGGTGTTTAGGGTGAGGCCAGAGTAAATTGATGGGTTTGGGCTTGGTTGAGGGTTGGGGCAGGTGTAGCGTAGGTGGCTTTGTGTTTGGGTGAGCAAACAGAGGGTTTTGAGGGTGCTTGCCTGCTTGCCTGCTTGCTTGCTTGCCTGCCTGCCTGCTTGCTTGCTTGCTTGCCTGCCTGCCTGCTTGCTTGCTGGCCCTCTTGTGCTTGCTTGCTTGCTTGCTTGCCTGCCTGCCTGCCTGCCTGCCTGCTTGCCTGCCTGCCTGCCTGCTTGCTTGCTTGCTTGCTTGCTTGCTTGCTTGCTTGCTTGCTTGCTTGCTTGCTTGGCTGGCTGGCTGGCTGGCTGGCTGGCTTGCTTGCTTGCTTGCTTGCTTGCCCAAGGGATTGGAAAAATACACACAATCCAGCGGAAAAACAAATCCCTAAATAATATAGCACCCATATACATATATGTATATTGTACCCCCCCCCCCCAAAAAAAAAACTAGACCACGGTTGGCCCGAAAGCAGAACATCGCAAGCGAGGTCGGCCCAACGCTGCAGGATGCGTTCTTTTTCCCTACACGAAGCATTCGTGAAGCAAGCGCGAGACAGCACCAGGCAAGGTGCTCTGCGCAAACTGGTCGGTGCAAGTTGGTCTGCGCAAGTTGCTCTACGCAAGTTGCACTGTGCAAGTTGCTCTGCGCAAGTTGCTCCGCGCAAGTTGCTCCGGCAAGTTGGTCCCTGCAAGTGGCTCCCTGCAAGTTGCTCTGTGCAAATTGCGCTCCCTGCAAGTTGCTCTGTGCAAGCTGCTCTGTGCAAGTTGCTCTGTGCAAGTTGCTCTGCGTAAGTTGCTCTGCGCAAGTTGCTCTAGGCAAGGCGCTCTCCGCAAACTGGTCGGTGCAAGTTGGTCTGCGCAAGTTGCTCTGTGCAACTTGCTCTGCGCAAGTTGCTCTGCGCAAGTTGCTTTAAAATGCAAGTTGCATCTTGCGACGCCCGCCCGCGGACCAGGGAGGAATCGAACCCGCGACCCGCCGGTTCCGGGAGCAGGCGCGCGAACCACGAGACAACTCCCGAAGACCAGTTCGAACAACAAAAGTCGCAAAAACCTCGAGTTTTTGCACCTCCACCACGCCGATTCCCGCAGAGGGTTGCGCGAGCACCGCAGAAATCGCAAAAAACCATGGGTTTTTGCACCTCGACCACGCCGATCCCCGCAGAGGGTCGCGCGAGCAGGTTAAACATCGCAAAAAACCATGGGTTTTTGCACCTCGACCACGCCGATCCCCGCAGAGGGTCGCGCGGGAACTTTAGAAATCGCAAAAAACCATGGTTTTTGCACCTCGACCACGCCGATCCCCGCAGAGGGTCGCGCGAGCACCGCAGAAATCGCAAAAAACCATGGGTTTTTGCACCTCGACCACGCCGATCCCCGCAGAGGGTCGCGCGAGCAGGCAGAAATCGCAAAAAACCATGGGTTTTTGCACCTCGACCACGCCGATCCCCGCAGAGGGTCGCGCGGGAACTTTAGAAATCGCATTTTTGCACCTCGACCACGCCGATCCCCGCAGAGGGTCGATTTTCGTGTAGTGTCGTCGGCACTACCCCGCCGCCCTAAGAAGAGATTTTAACTCCTCGCAAGTCAATTGCACTTGACTCCTTGCACTTGCAACTTGCACTTGACTCCTTGCTTGTTTCAAGGAGTCATTGCAAGGAGTCATTGCAAGGAGTCATTGCAAGGAGTCATTGCAAGGAGTCATGAGAGCCATTGCAAGTTGCAAGGAGCCAAGTGCATGGAGTCAAGTGCAAGTCGCAAGTGCACGGAGTTAAGTGCAAGTTGCAAGTGCAAGGAGCCAAGTGCAAGGAGCCAAGTGCATGGAGTCAAGTGCAAGTTGCAAGTGCATGGAGTCAAGTGCAAGTTGCAAGTGCAAGGAGTCAAGTGCAAGTTGCAAGTGCAAGGAGTCAAGTGCAAGTTGCAATCCTTGCCATGACTCCTTGCAATGACTCCTTGCAATGACTCCTTGCAATGACTCCTTGCAATGACTCCTTGCAATGACTCCTTGCAATGACTCCTTGCAATGACTCCTTGCAATGACTCCTTGCAATGACTCCTTGCAATGACTCCTTGCAATGACTCCAATGACTCCTTGCAATGACTCCTTGCAATGACTCCTTGCAATGACTCCTTGCAATGACTCCTTGCAATGACTCCTTGCAATGACTCCTTGCAATGACTCCTTGCAATGACTCCTTGCAATGACTCCTTGCAATGACTCCTTGCAATGACTCCTTGCAATGACTTTCATGATGATGATTCCTTGCAATGACACCTTGTAATGACTCTCATGAGAACAACTCAAGTGAACCCAGCGGAAGAACCCTTCGCCATGCTTTCGGGGAAAAAAAAATGAAAATGTTGGAAGTTCAGCTTTCTTTCTGGGTCTCAAAAAAAACGGCAATTCCAAGGGCAACTTCTCTGAACGTGTCCCGCTCTGGCCAACGCGAACACGCAAAGAACCTGACTCCTGAGGTAGCTGGAAACAGAAAAATCGGGGGAAACAGAATAACCAAAAGAGAGAAAAAAGAGAAACCAAAAATAAAGAAGCCACTCGTTTCTCCCCCGTGAGCTTCTTCGGCCCAAGCTGAGGCGCGACAAGGTCCGCGTGAGCGGGTTCTCGGAGCTGGTGGGCCTCTTTTCCTTGGGTGCCGGCCGGCGCAGCAGGCCGACGCCGCCAGCACCTGGTCGCGTTTGGTTTGGGGCTTGTTGGTCCAAACCTCAACAAGACCCACCGGGAAAACCGAAAACCTTAAGGGAAAAAAAGATCAGGGGAACATCTTGGCCAGACGCCGAGCCCATTAAGTGACAAAACTTGTCGGTCGAAAGGAAAACCAAAGGAAAACCCCAAAGGGCCAAAAAGGAGAAAATATGAGTTGCCTGTGGTGCACTGGGCTTGGTTCAACCCCCACCGAAAGCCTCACAATCTGATAGCTGCCCATTGCTTCCCCACTTTTCCGAGCTGGTCAAAAGAGGAAAACAACGGGGAACCTCACCAGCTGGGAGTCTGGTGGATTAATCCTCTAAGAACAACTGGGACATCGTGCAAAAAATGGTTGTTCTTTTGGTTTCCGCTGAAAAAAAGACACCAAGGGGGGCTCCTGCATTAATGGGATGACGATGGGCAAACATGATCGCTGCCCTCACGGAAAACGATCAAAACGAAGAAGCCGATTTATGTGGACCCCAGATTGATAAGACCAAGTTGCTCAAAGAGAAATGCAAATCCCCCGCTACATGGGTGACACCCGCTGTTGATCTAGGGCATCCCAAACCCTGGTATGGTAGCCAAAAGCTTTGCTTGTGGCAGCCATCTACAAGACACTTTCCCTTTTTCTTTAAGAAAAGAGGAAACACCACATGCCAAGAGATGTGAAGTGGGACTATCATCTTGAGCATCACTGTCGCTGTCCAGTGAGCGGCTCCCCTTGCAAAACCCGAGGACAAACCTCCTTCTGTGGGTCGTGGTGTGTTTGCCTTTCTGCACGGCACAAAGTACTCGGCGCTGCGTCCTTTCTTGAAACCACTCTTCCAAAAAGAGCCACACATGAGGCTGTCTCAAGATAGAAGATGGAGCCTCAGAATTGGTGGTGTCCTGTTGTTTCCCTTGGAAAACCCATCCCGAAAAGGGCACCAACTCCAATAAGAGACGCACCGCAAAGAAGAAGCAAACGCGCCGTCCGATCTCCCGCGCCCAGCGGATCAGCGCCAAGCGGCTGGCTGAGAGCAGGGCTTTGTCCAAAGCGTCCACCCTGCGAAGTGCGAGGCCCCGGTCCCAAACGGGTCGGGTGGGACGGGAGGGTGGGAGTGCAGGGGCTTCCCAGGCCAAACAAGGTTCCAGAAAGGCCAACGGCAGTTGCAGCTGTGGCTTTGCTTTTTGGAACAAGTCCTGTTGAGCTGTGAAAACCACCCCTCTTTTGGTAGGTCCCATGTGAGTTGCTTTTCTTGGAAACACGGATTTTCTGACACTGGGAAACCCCCAGAAGAACCTATAAAAGCCATTTCTGCCCCGAAGGCAAAGAGCCAAAGAAAAGGCGCGGGCTCAACAAACACCCGCTGTTTCGGTGGGTCGCAACTTGTTGTGTCCCGCGACAACTCGGAGCTCTGAGATAATCTGTCGGGGCTCATCCTTGCCGAGCAAAAAAAAACTACGGGCGAGCCTAGACATCGAGGATCGCTTTTGGATGGCAAACCCAAAGGTCCCAAAACATGTCTTTGCCATGTTCGGCAACTCCGACACCTGAAATAAGTTTGATCCCAGGCAAGCGGCCTACATGGTGAGCTGGCGCTCGCCCCAAGAAAACGCATCCCTTTTTCAAGGAAGCGCTCTACTCCAGGGAGCCTTTCTGTCTTGCCTGAAAGGGAAACCAAAATGAACACCACGATTTTGGGGGTCCCCGAGCCTTAGAACAACACGTCCTGTTTCGACTTGGAAGCCAATTGAGCGGGAAGCTCGGAAAGCACGCTCTACTTGAGACTAGGCCACTTAGTATTTTGGCGAGTGTGCCCCACGTATCCTGTTCGCTACCGCAGTAAATATTGACCGTTGCTCATATAGCTGTACTGCAATGTGATGCTTGGCAATGGTTGTTGGAAGGTGGTGCCATTGCGCTGGGAAGACTGTGTCTTGGTGGCCACTGAGTTCAAACTATAGACCAGAAATCAGTGTAGTCACACTCAACACCTTGAAATGGCCTACCCAAAACCGCAAAAGAATCCTTCAGAGAGCATATCCGCACCTATTTGCGCTGTATGTTATGCTATGTTATGCAATGTTATGCTATGCTATGCTATGTTCTGGTCTGTTCTGATATATTCTGTTTTGTGATGTATTTATGATGTATGTATGATGTATGCATATACATACATGAACCATTGGCCTCAGGCCCCTTGGGTTAACCAACCCGCCCAGGCCGTTCCGACAAGGTGCCAGAAGCCCTCGAAGTCCTCTTTGGACTCGAAGAACTTGGGCTCGCAGGCGCCGTCCTCCACGCACCTCGCGGCGCACGGCGCGCGGCGCGCGGCTGAGAAGTTGCAGCTGTTGCACGGAGAGATGGTGGCTTCCCTCTGATGGGTGGTTTGGTGGAGAACCAGGGGCTGAAATCCACCAATCCAAACCACCAACTAGGGGTTACCTGAAGGGGTGCGTAGAAGGGTTCTGAGAACCATTCTGGTGGGACATGTCCTAATGGTTGGCCCTAACCTTCGCGCCCAAACTTGTAATGAGGGCTTCACTATTTGACAGGGAAACCAAAAGGACACCAACCATCAGAAGGTCCCCTCAATGGGTATAAAGGACAGGCCTCACTGCCCTCATAAGACCCAGTAGAACCATCTAAGCACCTACTAAAATGGCGCCAAGGGCTTTGGGCGCTGGTGGGCTGGCCGTTGGACAAGCTGGCTCGTGTTGTCCGAAGGGACTTACCTTTGGCTACCCTTTCTGGAGCTTTAGGTGATGGGGTACTTTAAAGCAAACGTCCCCCTGAATATAAGACGAAATTATTGCTCTGACTATTTCCGGCTTTTTCTTTTTGACCGCCGTTTTCTCCCCGAAAAGGAGCCACCCACCAAAGCCGATACCCGCCCCACCCGCCGAGCCGCGTGGGGCGGGGGCCTTTGCTCTTCTTCCGCACCCGGAACTTCGGCGCCGCCGCCGCCGCCTTCGCCGCGGTTGGCTCGGCGCTTGGCTCCGCGGCGCTTGGCTCCGCGGCGCTTGGCTCCGCGGCGCTTGGCTCCACGGCGGTGGGCTCGGGGTCGGCTGGCTGGGCCGGGAAGACGGGGAAGGGGGCCTTCCGAGGCGGAAGAGAAGGTGCCTTGTTGAAATCAGAAACAAACAAAAAACAAAAAAGATGAGGGATTGTGTTTGTGTCGTCTTAGATGGTGTCATCTTGAAATGGCGCCTGCCATCTTAAAGGGACTTGGTCGATTTGGGCGAAGAATGGCCGGATTGGGATCGCCCTACGAATCTCGGGACTTCAAAAACGGGCCGGGCATCCAGATCCAAACCCTTTCAATGGAGATCCCTTGCGACATCCGTCCAATGGAGCGTCCAATGGAATGCTTGTGGTGCTTGGAAACGATGTTTGTCTTTTTTTAAACGTGGTTCGTGCTATTTGCGTTCTTTCAGCTGGCTTCCCTTTTTGGGGTCTGAGCTGTTGTCCCGTGCCCTTCCAGGGGCGCAGCTGTTCACCACGCTCGGAACCTTTCTTTTGGGCCACGAAGGCGCATCTGAGCAGCTAGGATCCTGGGACCATGGTGGCCGCGTGTTTCGTTCAGGTTGCCTCAGAGAGTTCCTACGCGGGGCATCAGCCCTCCCCAGAACTCCCTTCCTCAGGCGCCTTAGAAGGTGCGTGGAGCATCTAACGAATGCTCAGTGATGCTTGAACACCCTTTCCGCGGTTCATTCTTCCAAGGTTCTGCCGGGGCATTCTGGCGACTGTGTGGATTCACTCAGGATCATGGAAGCGTGCGCAGATATGGGCGGACTCAGTTTGGGAGCTATCTTCTGTGGTTTCAAGACTATTGCTTTGGTGAACACAAGCCTGCTGTCATGCCGTGCACTCACAGCCAACAACAAAACACATCCGCGAAGGTGATTTGCGGGGATATTGGTCAGGACAGTGGTTGCAGAACTTTGACAGATCTGTCGCAAACAGCTCTGGACTCTGAAGAACTGACGCGCCTTTTTGCGTCGCTGTGGTCGGCTTCTTCCCGGCCAATTGTCCAAGCTCATCCAGACACTTGGATCTGTCAGCTGGGTTTCTACCACAGCGGCCAAACGCCTGGGATCCCAACGTGAGCTAAAACACCATGGGGAACCCCAGAAAAAACTCACCATCTGCAGGAACATGCTGCTTTCTTTTTGGTGGAGCGGGGGGAGGGGATGGTCGAATTTTGGTTGCTTTCTGCTCCCCCGCTAAAAGTTTACCTTTTAGTGGATCAATGGAAAACCATAAGTTGGCAAAAAGTTAAAGTCCTAACATCCAAGCAAAACGCACCAAAGAAATGACCCCCTGCAAACCCTGGCACCTCCTCCATTTGCTCCTCCTCAGAGTCAAGGACCTCGGAGAGGAAGCTCTCAACGTCTCCTCAAAGGCAAGAAAAACCTCCGAGGGACCTCCCTAGGATGGGGAAATTGGGCGACCCTGTTTAGGGATTGAAACGGATACCAAAGGGAAGCCAGTGCAAAACACTTAATAGAGTAGTTTGCTCTTGTCAAAGGAAGTTTAACAAGAACTTCCATAGTACTGGAACGATATGAGCAAGGTCTCTCTCTCTCTCTGCGTAAGAGCGCATGCGCCTGCGCGTGATCTTTAAGAATAGATGCACCGCGGCCGACAGCGCACTTTTCGCAATATCGGCTCGCAACACTTTCGCAGGGTGAGGTACATATTGTGTGGCAGGGGCAGCACTTTCGCAATGTCAGGTACGGCGCAGCACTTTCGCAAGCTCGAGTACAGATTTTATGGCAGAGGCAGCACTTTCGCAAAGAGAAAGAGACAGGGAAAGATAAAAGAAAAAGAGAGGGAGAGAGAGGGAGAAAGAGACAAACAGAGAGACAAGAACACAAGAAAGAAATAAATGACGAAAGAAATAAATGACGAAAGAAAGAAAGAAAGAAAGAAAGAAAGAAAGAGAGAAATGGAGAAAGAGAGAAATGGAGAAATGGAGAAATGGAGAAAGAGAGAAAGAGCAAAAGAAGGCGAGGGAGAGAGCACAAGAAAAAGCGAGAGGGAGAGGGAAAATAAAATAGTAGGAATATAGTTGTCCCCTACTTTTGAAACTTCCTCTCCCCGGCTCTGCCGGACTTTGCAGGAATTCAAAAAATCTCTGCACACCCATTCTGATCTTCAGGGAAACTGCCTAGGTCTGTGTGTGCCAAAGAAGGGTCTGGAAAAACACGCGAAAAACACATTCAAAAGCACCTAAAACTAGCACCCCCTTGGCTTCCTTCTGAAAAAAGAAGAAGAAAAAACACAATGGGCTATTTAGTACCCAGTCACAAGGGATACGAAAGGGTGTTGTTACGGAGCGAAACAAAAAACCACAGCTCAAGGGATCCAAGCTTCGACCTGTCGGCCCTAGAGACTTGGCCGAGCGTGTTCTAAGCGTGGGCCCCTTTGTGGCGCCTGAGCCAAGAAACAAAGTACCCTCCCGTCCGCGTTGCCATGGAACCGGAGGGCTCCTGGAAGACCATGTTCCTTTAAAACACGGACCTTTGGTTTGGGTTCCTCATTCGCGGACGGGAGGATAGCGTTGGTTTACGCCCACCCTGCCTTCCAAAACGAACCTTTCGTTGGGTTCCACGTTAGGGGACTGGAGGGTAACTTCGGTTTCAACCCCCCCCCCCCCCGCGGCCAAGACTCGCTCTGCGGCCGGCCCCGGCGCCGCACGCGTCAATGCGGGCGCGGCATACGGCACCTGCGGCGCCAGCGCGAGGCGCCGCTTTGGGCGGCGCAGCAGCGAGGGCCCGGCCTCGCCCTTGGGCTCGCCTCGGGTCCATGGCAAAACGTGCTTCAATATCTTAAGTGATTACCTTGTAATGTATTATGTTTTAAAACATATTTTGGTTTTCATCCTCCAAATTCAACCAAATTCGGCGCAAAGGGAAGCCGAACGTGTACAAAGCAGGCTCATGAATGGAGACATATATATATATATAATATGTATATATATATATGTATATGTGTATGAATACATACACAGAATGATAGACTACATCCAGCAAAACCAAAAGGAGCTTCTGCCAATGGTTTGAACATCTGGGCTCTTGGCTGGTGGGAACCTACTTTTGTTGCTGCTCTTTTGGGTGGTTTTGCAGGGAAGCCAAGGGAAACTACAAGGGAGCCAATCATTTTGGGGGAGCCCCATGACTGGACTGCGGTTGAAGTCTTGCCAGCGACTTTGAATTTGTGTCGTTTTTGAAACATGTTTCAAAGCGAAGCCATTGAAAAACGGCCACTTTTAAGGGTTAACTCACTCTGACACAAATGGGTTTGGGTCAAAATCCCGTACCCTCAGTGAACATCCCAATCCCCACTATAGACTAAAATGAGGTGGTGCACCTACCCCAAAATAGTTCCATTGGTTTTGACCCACAGCCAAATCCATTCATGTTGTGTCTTGTTGTAAATCGCATCAAATCGCGGAGGTGAGAGCCTGAAGCCCATCGGTTCATGAAAGTAGATGGCACAAGTCCCTGTGTGTGGGTACGTAGAGGGGAATGACTTCACGGAAATAGGGGGAATTGTGCCGTCTAGAATCACCCAACCATGAGGCTGTGCCTTGCCATGGTTCCCAAGATCAACCATCGGCATTAGTATCCTGGTCATGTCTGCGCTGCTTTTTTTGACTGATCGTAATTCGAGAAAACTCAGCAAAGGGGCCGAACTCCCGCTCCCCTCCAAATGAACAGAAGCCAACCCCAAAAAGGATCCAATCCCAAAAGGAGACCCAAGGACCCTCATGATGGTTGAACCCCCGAATCAGTGAGCCCGCAGAAATATGGGTATCAATTGCGGGGTGGAAACATATTGAAGGGAGCATTCATAGGCTGGCGTCAGGGCATCCATTGCAAGTAAGGGAACCAGGGCACCCACAATTTACTGCCATTTATAGCTTGCAGTGCCCTACAACGTCGGACTTTGGGGGTGTTTGGGGCCAATTACTCGTTTTGGGAATTCAACGTAACAATTTGAGTCATGGTCTCGCCCCATTCCTCATGAAAATTTGGTGAGTGATCCCCCTTGTTCGGGACACAATAAATATTGACCATGCCCGAACTATTCCAGTGAAATCCCAAAATGATTGTACATAAGTCCCCGTTGCTCATTGGGGGGCTGGCCAATGCGTGCCAGGTCTCTCACGTCCTTCCCTTCCACGGTGTCGCCCGACTGGTCCTAGGGTCAACCCCCTCCCCCAACCCTTCCTTCATTTGCTTAAGCCCAAGGGGAATAAAATATATTTCCAGTAGTGATAGATGTCCTTTACAACCAACAGGAGAAAAGAACAAATCTTAAACAAATGGAAGCTTCCTGAACCCCTCCAGAACTTCGGCAGCCCTTCCGGAACCCTTCCGGAACCCTTCCGGAACCCTTCCGGAACCCTTCCGGAACCCTTCCAGAACCAATCTGGCCGGACTGCCAGAGCCACTCCGAATCACTCCTTCTGGCCTCATGATTTTACCATGGTCAAAGTCACCCGCCAAGTGGTGGGTTAAAGGGAAACAAACCCCATGTCTAACTTTGACAGCCTCCAGAAACCGTCAAAAGAATGACCCCTCCGTGTCGTAATCTTTGAGCTGTTGGCAAAATGCGGGTCGTGGTCTTCCCATCTTTCTTAGATCCGGCTCAAAGAACCGTCATTTTTAGATATCCTTTGAGCCAGGCACCATTGGAGGGCAACTTAGGTCCAGTTGCCCCCCCAAGCCGAAGCCACCCTAAGGCTTGCGTGGAGTGTCGAGCCGCCATATAGCCATGGTAGATTTCGGGGGGGCTTCCATAGGGGGCTAAAAAAGGGTCGTCGTCTTCCCTGGCCTTGTGGCAGCCACGAACCACAAAACCAAAGCAAACCAAACGAGAAGTCATGGCTCCTCAGGAATCCTTACAGCGAGTTTGTCATTCAGGGGTTGACCAGCCGGCGGGTTGACCATGTCCATTAACCTCATCTCAAAGATGTCCAACCTAAGCCAAAAAAAGAAGGAAAAAGAACGCCTTCTGGCTTCCCTGAACTTGCCCTTTTAACCCAAACTCAATAGATGCTTTCACCAGTAAACCAAATAAGCCCAATCTTGGCAGGTCGGTTTCTGGCTTCGTTTGTTTACCCTATTCACCCAACAGGGCTCCTTACTTTATACACCTGAACATTGCCTTGTAAATGGTGATTTCCCTTTTTATTTTGGTGTTGAAAAAAGCCATGTTTCAAATGGTTGCAACATGTGTATTTTAAGGAGCCCTGCCCAGCCTCGGGTAGTTTGGACGCAAAATGTGGCTGGAGATGTCCTTCTGGCCCTTTGTCAATCCCCATTCTCCTACTGGGACACCAGCCAGATTTCCTGGAGTGGTCAGGAAAAAGTGGGCTTTATGAAAACCCAATCTAAACTGTGTTGGTTTCAATATACACTTTTTGGTGTATGTACATATTTGTATAACACAACCCAATGCCGTTTATACAGACATACCTATATATATATATATGTGTGTCTAATCGAGGTACAACTAGATCAACAGGTGCTGCCATGGCTCCTCTGCCCGGGATGAGCTCGCCGCCTCAGGCGCCGGCTCCATCTGCTCCTCTGAGATGTTCACGGTTTGCTCCTGGGGAAGCCGTCAAATCCCCCAAAAGTTGAAGGGATGCAGGTCGACCATGCTGGGATACAGGAAAAAAGAAAAAACGGGCCTTAACTAGTGATGCAGCTTTCCTAAGATAAGCAAAGACGGGTGGAAACTTGGGCTTGCCCCCAAATGGGACAAACAACACCCCAGAATGGGCGGTGTCGGTGTCCCTTCGGTTCTGTTCCAAAAAGGTCCCCTCAAAGAAGACACGTTTGGGGAGAAACGACGAATTGCCGGGGGCTCATTTCAAGGCCAACGCAGATGAAATGTTTCAATCCCACCGAACAAGTTAGAACCATTTGGACCCTTGACCACAAATAGATCAACATTCAAAACACAACAGGTCACAAGGTCAGACTAGGTTAATCCACTTTGGGCACCTGAGTTCAACAACGGCGGCGTGTTGCTATCTTTAAACAGGTCTGTGATACCAATGAATCGTCTGTCAAATGACCCATTCTACGGAAGGTGATCAACAATTCTGTCCCACCCTGACGAAACGCATTTGAACAATAAAGCCAACGCTGAACAAAGGAAAGAAGGTCCAGCCGCTTAAAAGGCCTAAACAACGGTGTTTCAAACATGTCCAAACAGGCGGCAACGCCGCAGAAACAAACTTGACTGAGAGATAGGACACCTTTTGCAAAGGGTCCATTGCCTGCAGCCACAGCATTGGCAAAGAGTATCTCAGACTGGCAATAATTAGCGGGGAGGTTGCTAGTTGTGCTTAACCAGCCAAGGCCCTTTGGGAGAGCGAACCGGAGGTTGTTTGAAACAACAGGTGAGTCACAATCAAAACCCAGTATTGAACTGGTCTACCCAGAACCAGGTACAGAGTTGAAAAGGCGGATCTCCGCACCCATTTATGGCAAGGAGATTCTTCCTTCTCCAATTACTTGGGTTTTCGATTGTGGCTCAGGCGTTGAAACGTCAAAGGAGTTGGCCCATTGCCGCCCTTCCCAACGGCTCCACGTCCGGCTCCGGGGGCTCCACGGGACGTAGAGCGCCGGCGTCGGCGCCCTTCTCAGCCGCGTCGCCCTCCTGCCGACTTCGAGCCACTCGACGTCTGAGAAATCCCGGCGTCTAAATGCCTCCCTTCTAGTCCGAGGCCGACATATCTTCTTTTTTTTAAGGGCAGTTCAAGGTTGGGGCACCCTTATTTGGTAGTTTCTTTTGAAGGATTTGCCCCTCTTCAAAAGAGGGTAAAAGGGGCACCAGCTCTGCAAAAATCTGCCAACTGAATCAACCACCGAGGAAACCACTAAAAATCCGAGAGGGGAAAAACCAAACAACAGGAAGCCAAACAAATGGCTGTATCTGAAAATTCGGGACACCTCTAAGAAGGAGGTTCCCTTTTCAAGACACACCCGAATCATGGGGTTGCACCAACTGAGCAGCGCCAAGCCACAAAGACTTTGGGGTCAACCAACATGGCCATAAAGGACATATAGAAGCCTGACTGCAACCCAGTTGAAACCAGGCAAAATGAACCTTTTTGGGGGATTCCCCTGACTATAACCCCCTCAAATCAGGTGGGAAGCGAAGTTCAAGTCTTCCTGTGAGCTCTGCAGCGAGGAAAATCGGATCCTCCCCCAGAAACGAGTTGGCAGCATCCAGCGCCCCCAGCAGCGCATCCAGCGAGGTCTCCGCGGCCATGGCTGCGAAGGTGTTCTCGCCCCGGAGGGGGTACGGGATGGACTGAGGAAAATTCAAGGGTTCTGCTTTGGGGCGGGGTGGTTTCTTGGTTCAATTTGGGATTCGGCCCTTTGTAACAGTTTTGGGCAAGGAGTTGTGGGCGAGAGAACCTGAGGTCTGTGAGAGGCTCCATGTCTGGCCTAAGCCCACGGGGAATCGCCCTGGTTCAGGCGATGTGTTGAAACGTTGGCTGTTCTGGCCGACTTCCTGCCACAGAGCGTGTTCCGACAAAGCATGGCACCCACATCATTTCTGATGAAGGAAAAGGATAGTATCGAACCCCCCTTTCAAAGTTGGGCGGGTCCTTCATCATTTCGCTTGCTCGGCTTGGCCAAAAAACGAATCTGTTTGCACCCATGTTCGATGTAGAAACGGGGTAGTAATTCGACCCCCCTTTCAAAGTTGGCTGCGCGCTTTGGTAGAAAGACTTGTAATCCCCATTTCTCACTTCCTCGGCGGATTGGCCAAAAAACGAATCCGTTTTGATCACGAAGATGGTCCAAAGTCCATGAGCTGCGAGCCACGCGCTTCGGGCACCCTCACTCGGCCTCCCCGGTTGGCTGTTTCGATTGGTTTGGAGGCTAGGGCGCTACGTGTTTCAGGTAGATTCACCCACAAAGGGGGGGCCAAATCCCCAGATCCCAATCCAAACCACTGATGAAGGGCTCCCTGACTCGGATGCCGCAGTGGCCTACCTTCGGAATCCCGGAAGGGCGCTGGCCCCCGCTTCTCAGGGGGCACCAACTTGGATACCACGTTTGGCCCAAGCGCTGGGTACCCCAAAAGGCAATACCGGAGTCCAGGGGTAGCAATACCTTTCAAGGGGCAATCGCAATTGGAGAAGGCAGATGGCAGTGCCTGGAATACCATCGCTCCGGCGACATGGTAGCCAGAAGAAGAAGAATAGCTTGGGATTCTGTTTCAAGCTTGACGCAATTCCTGAGATTTCGAGCTCAATGGCTGGCCGGTCCTGATAGACCCTTCAAACCAACAGGGGAAGACATAACAACTATTCTGATATTCTGAAACGTAATTGGAAGAAAAAGACTCCGGCTCCTCGGAAGTCTTGCTCTAGTGGAAAATAACCCAAAGAAACCCAGGAACCTTGAACTCGGACCACCCTCTCAGGATGAGTTGGCCAGGTACATGTCACCAGCCCGGTTCGGAACCCAACGCCGGGTCCGCTCCAGGCTGTTTTGAGGCGGGCGCGATCGTATTGCCCATCGGCGTGGTACATGATGCCCAGGTGAAACCTCGCACTTGCCGAGCAACGGCGCTAAGTGCACGTGTTTTGACCCTTCTTCCCAGACCCCATTTCCATGAAAAAAATGGGGAACTTTTGGGGTAGCCGACTTCGAAGGGAACCCTCTCCGAAAAAGGGGAAGAACGGATGAGAAAATGTGCACCCTGTGTCCAAGGAAAAACACCAAACCAGCTAGGAACCCGTGCAATCCCAGGAGTTAGAACTTGATGTGAGAAACATGTCCCCTGGTGGGTCAACTCCGATGTCCCTTACTGACGATAGACTGATATGTTGACTGAACCTCATATGAGGCCGCGGCAAAACCTCAATTGAAATGGGCTGCACATGTGCTTTCTTATCGGTTTTGCGTCAAAGTTTATCGTTTTACACGTTAGATGTATGTTCAACCTTATCGTTTCTTTTTTTGCACCTTATCATTTTACCGGGGTTCGCGCATTTTTGGACAACTGCGCGCATCAGCTCTCATGGTGGCTTCAAAGGCTTTCTTCGGACAAGCTCCTTCCATGCTTTTCGTTTGCGCTTGCTTGCTTCAATTTGTTTGGCTAGCCTGCGCTCATCAACTGCAATAATGTGTTCCAACGTAGAGTCCAAGACATGTTCCAACGTAAAAGACAAGTATGCTGTCCATGGCCGGGAGACATCAAAGGGAAAGCTAGGGTAGAGTGGCTAAGTTCCTCTCAATGGGCAACTCCTCAAGGGCATGGGTTCTGTCAAAAAGCGTTATCGGTTTTGCTATCGTTTTGTTATCGTTTTCAGCGTCGTGACTCGGAAGCCTCTCCCGGGTCTCAATGCTCCAAGCCATGGTTGTGAACAGGAAGGACGGAAAGGGAGCAAACAAGATTGAGCAAAATGCTAGCAATACGTGCATTCCATGCTCCAAACCTTATCGTTTTCCAGCACAAACAACACGGAAACACCCAAAAACCTTATCGTTTTTTTTGCACCTTATCGTTTTACCGGGCTTCGTGATTGTCCAACACAATGTGCGCGACTCTTACATCCCGCAAGCACGAGAGTATTGCCAGTACCTCATATGTCTTGGAAGTCTCGTCTCCCCCCCAACTGCGAAGTGGCAATGTACCCATAGGGGGTCACCGAGATTCTGCAAGGGTCTTGGACAAAAAGTCTGGAAACCTGCAGGACGCGACTCCACGGGATAGAAGATCGGAGGTCTGGGCAAGCAAAAACATATCATAACTCACTTCCCTTAGGAAGCCTTACCATTGGCGGAGGTTCAAGTCTATCTTGGGGTGATCAAAAGTGGGGCGCTGATATGTCTACTGTATGAGTACTGGAAGGTCCCGAGCCTGTTTGGAAGAAGTATGGAAGTTGGCAATCGCTCCTCTTGAAACAGGCCCAAACCCTCACTCCCATGATTGGACAAAGGGTATGATATCGTGCCACAGAAACTACCAAAGACAAACATTTAGAAGAAAACTGGAGAACACCATACAAGTGGGTTTATCTCAGAACCCACAAAATAGATGGCTTTTCATTGTTGGTTTCCCTTTAAACCATTCCTAAAAACGGCAGCCCGAGCACACATTCATGGGCAGGCCTTTTGGAACCCCCCCCCCCCCAAGCAAGCAGACGGAGAAAACGAAATTCAGATTGAAACGTTCAGACTCATTTTGAGACAAAAACATTGGGTGCCATGCCCGCTTCACACCTGACGTGACTTGGGTGTGTGAGCGTCTCAAACCTTTGTTCGACTCAATTCCGCAAATAATAAGTGGAAGGAAGCACAAACACCTCATTTTTAGCAAAAGCTTCATTTTTGGGACCCCCTTTTTGGGTTCCATGTTCCGCGCATGTTCAACCGATTTCACCCACGCTCGAGACATGTTGTCTCTTTTGGGGGGAAATGAACCACCCCTGGGTTTAAGTCTACCTTGGGGTCGTCGAAAAGGGGAGCCCTGAGACATGCATTTCTTGGCGCGGGATCTCCCCTCATCTTGGGACCTCACTGAATTTAGTTTGCCTACGGAGGTCCCTTGCCAAATCCCTCCAGAGGCTCCAATGATTGTTGTAGGCGGAATGATATTTCCCATATAACCAATAGGCAGGGACAAAGATTATCCTGGGCAGATTCCCTATTCCACCAAAGCCATGGCGAATTGGTTATCATCAGTGCTTACCTAACTGGGCTGTCCTCAGATCCCCCGCTAAAGGTTAACTTTTAGTGGGTTGAATAGAAATCCCCACTAAACCCTGAAAACCTAAAAAACAGAGGAACCGGATGGCCACCAAGATCATTGTTTCCCTAAGGAGTTTCATCGGAAGTGGGTCCTTCCCATCGCCATGTCCGGATTTCCCCCCGAAACCGGTGCAGCAACGCCGGGCCCCGCGCCGCGAGGGATGGTGGCCCGCATCGCGGCCCAGGGCCTCCCGGATCGGTGGATCCCAGTGGAACTTTTGGGCAACTCTTGTGTTGAGGTTTAAAGGATTCCATTGGTTGCAGGGAAATGGAACTCTGCTAAGTTTGTTGCCCACAACTGGCTGAAAAAAAGCGACCCAAAATGCCGCCCTGGCAAATGGAAAGATCAAAACATGCGTAAGCCTAGCTCTTGGTTTTGGAGCCACACCCATTTGGCTTTTGAAGGGTGGTTCCAGGGGTTACAGGGAAATGGAACTGAGCGAAGAAAACCTGCCAGAAACGCGACAAACGTGCCCCAAAAGGAAGCGGCCACAATTAGATCTGGCCAATCCAAAGCCTCCAAATGGCTCTGGGAGAGTCGGACACGCTCTCCGCCCGCGTAGAGCCGCTGGGCCATGCCCAGCATCAGCCAAGAATCTTCGTACTGTCATGCCATAGAGAGGCCTTTCGCCAATCTCAATCTGATTTGCCTTTGGAGCTGACAGCGCCCAAAAGCGCCGCTCGCGTTGAACGGGTAGATCAAAGAAAACCTCCGCTTCACTGTGTGTGCTCCCGTAACGTGGCCAGAAGGAGCCTTCGATCAGCTCTGATCGAGGGAGACGCTCTGAGAACCTTGGGAGAGGTGTTCGGCTAGGTTACTTATTGGTGGCCCTGAATTTTCTGGACACCACATCCTTAAGCCTGATGGGTTTTCTCATGGCTAACCAGTGACTGACTTGGCCGAACATCCAAGGAATCCCCCCTTTTGGCGGTTGTCCAATGGTGACTTCTGGTTCTCTCCGCTCATGGGAATTGTCTTGGGTTCTCTCTATATAAACTTTTGTTGAACCTTTAAAACGAAAGTTCACCCCCAAAAAGGATACCGAGCCACAAGAGACTCACCCAAGTTGATAGTTGATACTGTGGGTTCCCAAAAGGGCGTCCTTCTTCTCAAGAGGGGCTCAGATTCCCATATCAAGGACCGTGGAAGCTAAGATAAGCTACAGCCCTTTGGGTTTTTCAAGGGTGGTTCCCTTGGCTGCCTTCAGAGGGAAACCACATCCCTATGGATGGGTACAAGGTCCATGCGGATCAGCACCAGTGAGGGAAAAAAAACAGCGACCAAGCCCGTGCGAAGCGAATGTTGCCCATCCACAGTAAGAAGAAGGTCCCCCCACTTGAGTTCGTTTTCTTGGGGCGTCCTAAGGACCGACAAGAAGAACAACATCAAGGAATCAAGTAGTTCAAGAACTCCCCAAGCGACACCAAATGTTGAAAGTGTGCTTACGCAGTGGGATATGTGGCTCGTTCCCCGTGGTTGGTTGATGGCTTGCTAAAGTTATTTGTGCCCATTCCTCTCAACTCTAAAGGTCTCTATAGATTGGAGACTGTTTCAGGATGGTTCCCTTGAAAGAATCAACCAGGGTGTAAGTCCACCTCGAGGTTCAAACAACACCTACACGCGGCGGCCATAGCGTTGGTACTCATCATGCCTTTGGCTTTAGAAAATCTTTGTGCTTTCTGCTCACCGAAGGGTTCCCGGACAAATTGGTTTTGTTTGGTGCGCATATTCCCTATCACCCGGATGCGTCCAAGTCGAAACTGCCATACCTGAAGCGTGCTCCCCAGGGGTTTCGACATTAGATCTTTGTGGATGTCCCTTGTGGCATCGCGCCGCCAAAGGCCCCTCCCCCCAAAAGGCGGAGAAAGGAGGACCCCAAAAAAATCAACTCTAGCATCTTTGTTTTGCCACTGAGAAAAGACAATTTGCAGAACCCCCAAAGCGACAAACACACACAGACAAACAAACATCAACAGTAAACCATCAAACTTGCTAAGAACCCACCAAGAAAAAATAAAGTCAAACCGAAAATCCGAACCCAACCCCCAGCACAACCTCCCCAGGGTCACGAAGAATCCTTCCCAAACCTTGCTTTGGTAACGAGAAAGGTGTGTTTGTCGCAGCCCACGAACAGACCTACAGAACCAGACAACTAATTCACTCGCAGATCACCCCAAACAATACTTTTCACTTAAAGTCCACCACCCCAAACCACCACCCCGTTCTGAAACGCCATGCGCCCACGAACGAACTCTTCACTCCTCCTTCCCCAACACCACCCCGCCCCCGACGGGGCGCCGTCGGCGCCTCCTCGTAGCAAGCGATGGCCTGGCGCACCTCCCCGCAGCCCTGAAACGCCAAGCCCTGGCATCGGAGCATCCGACTAGCGAGCGAGCCCAAGGGGGGGGGGGGGGAAGGGGAAGGGGGGAAGGAGGGGCCGTTTTGGGTACCTGAACCCGCAAGCGACCCTTCAAAACGGGAGATTCAGCGATTCACCCTGGAGATAAACCGCAATAGGCAATGTTTAAGGCTAGTTTGAGGGTCCAGGTACCTTTTTTGGATGGTTTTGAAGGGAAACCAAAAGGACACCACCCCCTTTGTTATGGGTTCTTTGTATTTCGCGATTTGAACGCCCTGAGAATTGACCTGAAAATTGGGAGAATTTGGGCTTTAACATGGGAGCTTTGACCAGAGGCTCGAGCCTTTCTGAACCCGCACGAGGAATTGGGCGAAAGGAATTGATCTGCACAAATTGGCAAATGCAAGGAAGGAGCCCGGCCCAACTCAGAGGCCAAAAAAAAATCCAGCCGGGCTTCCTTCACAGGGCCCCGAGTGGCACCCAGGGGAGTTCTTTTCCGTCTTTCAGGGCTAGAAGGTGTGGCGGGGGCAGAGCTTCAGAGATTGCGACTGCGAAACCCTTGAAGCGTGGCACAGGTGTCCCTCCCAGCAAAAAGCTCGAGGAATAGAGACCGCCAAAGTGCCGGCCAAAAAGGAGCACCAAGTCAAAGTTGAACAAATGCTCATCGGGACCCTTGCGGCGCCTTGTGGTGCAGGTAGGTGGCGTTGTCTGGCTCCAGCCGGATCGCTTCCGCATAGTCTTCCAGGGCCTCCACAAGATCGTCATATCCGCGAGCCGAACGCCGGGGCGCGCCAAAAGCAAAAAGTGACTTGGATCACCCACCGGACTCTGCTACCAGAGGAAATGACGGACACCCCAAAGGGTAACCAGATTAGTCAAGTGTGGCAATGTCAAGAGGGCACCGCATCCCCCTTTCAGGTATTCAAAATATAGCCATTTCAGAAGCGTCCTTTACCTCTTGGTTGCACGATTAGGTGAGGCAAAAGCCCTGCAAGCGCCTCTCGGTGGTGGCCAAGCTGGAAGTAGGCGTTGCCACGATTGAAAAGCACCTCGGGGTCGATCTGAGTGGGTATCGGCGAACTTTAATGGGCGACCCTTTGGCGGACGTCATTCGGTGGGGGATTTCTGTCCAGCGGGTGTTCCCTAAATTTCCCAGACCCCGGCCCCAATGGCCATGGAAAATTGTATTTTTAACTGCCCTCATAATCTCTCCGGAACCCGAGCCCACACCTCCGAACCACTCCTTATCGCCTCCGAAACCGACCCCATGCATAGCTTGCAGGGGAAATGGAAGCCAACCACTGGAGGCCTGGATCGAAACTCGGCCATTGGGCGGTCTTCTTCTTTTATGGGACTTTGATTTATTTTTTTTGGGGGGGGGGGGGTGCTGTTGGTGCCCCTTCAAAATCGCCAAAAAGGGTGGTTTCCCTGCAAAACCGCCCACAAAACGGGCTACCCACACAAAAAAAAGAACACACGCCCAAACGGGAGCGGGGGGGGTCGAACAGAACCCCCCCGCGCCTTCCCCCCCCCCACCCCCCCCTCCCTTGTCGGCTCCGTTGGCTCGGCTTCCCTGCAGAGGCGGTGCCAGGCTCCGCCTGGGGAAAGTTGCGGGGCACAAAGGTCTTGGGGTGGCTCCTCTGGAAACCTCCCGGATCGCTCCCCGGGGGTCTTAAACCAAAAGATGGGAAACCAAAAGGAAAACCCACCCAGTTGGAGAGGAAGGGGGGGGGTCTTAAACCAAAAAGAACACCCAGCCTCAAAAGGAGCGGCGTGTTAAAGCAAAACACGAACCCTGGTGTGAAACCCCTGGTTTGGATTGGGTAATGGAAAGCCAACCCCCCAACCTCCAAACCAACCCAAGCCACCACTTGAAGGGAAACTGACTTCTGGGGTACGCGGAACTTCTGACCCTGCTAGCCATCCCGATGCTGTGCTTACCCATGTTCTTTGTGGAGGAAGTTCAGAAGCAACCAACGGCTGCATCTTCATTTGAGGCTACCCTTTTTGGGGTGGCTGCGGCTTCCGCTCAAAGGAAACTAAACAAAGAACTGATTTTCCTGGTACTCAAAGGGTCCTTTTTTGGGGTATGTCTTGAAGGCAAGAAGTTCTTTAAAAGTATGACTTGGCGGCCCTTAACGAGGGATCGCGAGAACGGGGGCGTTCCCGGGCAGTTTCGGGCAGCTTTGTTTTTTGGGTTTGCGCACACCTCTCAGCACATCCGGTTCATCGGGTTGTTTTGGGCTGGGTTGTTTCTGCCTGAAACTGCCTGAAATCCAAACCCGTTCCAGCGATACAACTGTCTTCTTTCCAAGGAACCCCCCAAAGTGGTTTCTCTGTTGGTTCCCTTTACAAACAGAAGACCTCCATTTGCTTAAGTCCCCTGGAAAAAAAAGAAGAAAAAAAACATCTGTCCAGTAGTGAAAGATTCAGTTTAAAACCAACAGGCGAAAATCAAACGTATTCTAAACCAAATGGAAGATAAGGGGATTCACCAAAGACAAACCCAGCTGATTTCGGGCGATGCCTCCAAGGCTGCGGTGAAGTCTTCAGCCGCCTCCTCGTACCTGGGAGCACCAGCATTGATCTTGCCCGCAAGCCCTCGCCGGCTGAAGAGCTGTGCGTGCTTGTTTGAGGGTACCATTTGCTTTTATTTTTTGAGAGGGGTGTGTGTGTGTGTGTGTGTTTGTCTAAGGGTACTTGTTTTGTTTTGTTTTTTTTTGGGGGGGGTGGGGGAAGCAAGAGGAAATCAATTGAGGAGAAAGTTTATAGTTTTGTTGAGGGTACCAGTTTCAGGTGCCCGGTCGTGGCTCCCTTACAAACTCCTTTAAGTTGAAACAAAAGGAAACCAGTCTGGTTGTCGAAAGCCCGCACTGCAGTGCAAGGTAGATCCAAGACATCAATGTGAATGCCAGATACATTCAAACACCACAAAACATCAAGGGCGGAATGAATGTTGTTCGTTGACTTTCTTGAGGTTGAGAAACCGAAGAAAACCGCCCACTTGGTCGGCTCTCCTATAACACCCACATGCATGGACTACCAGGGTTCATGCATGGACTTCTGTCAGCCTTTGGTGCCTGGCAAAAGAGGTACGGTCATCAGTTGCGGTTACCCCGCAAGATTACGGTGTCCCCTGGTTTTTGCCGGGAAAATTGGAGGGGCCCCCATATTCCTCCCAAATGTGCCATAGAATATTTGGCCCAACCTCACGTGCGTCCCAACCCCAACTGAGTACGCGGCGTCTCCAAGTGGTAGCAAGCCAAGCCACGATTGTTCAAATACCTCGCAGCCAAAGAAACGAACGGAGGCCGACAAGTCGAGGGGTCGGAGTCGGGGTATGAAGAATTGCCCCTCAGCAAACTGGCCCTAGCCTCTTTTGGCATACAAATGGGCCATCATTGGGCTCAAACGAATTTCTTGGGGTAGCCACAACCTCGGCAAAGGTGCTCTTGTTTCCTCCCCTACTTCGGGTATGAAGTTATTTCAGCATGTAATATTTGGATGGACGCAGCCCATTTCGCACCAGCAGTTGCTATGGGTGGCAAAGCTTCTGGCCAAGTGGCGCCTGGAGTGGTGTTTTGTACCAATCTACAGGATGGCTATAGCAGGTAGCCCTTCGCCATTTTCCATCAGGCTTTTAATTAACCGGTGTCCTCTTGGTTGAATGGCTGGATCCAGGCGCATTCTAATGTTAAATCGGATACCTTTGGAAGTGAGGCATATCGCCAACCAGGCTCATACCAGTCTACATGGTGCTGCACTGACCCTTTCCTCTGACCCTGGACTCTGCCTTAGGCCTTTCGCGGCCTTCGGAAAGTTCATTGACCGGAGCGCTTGGTGGCTGGGATGCCCGCGATGTTTCAGGGCCTTTCCTCGACGCGGCCCATCGTTTCAGGAGGTTCCCGCGGAGCTGAAGGCCTCAGAGGGCTAAGCTCGAAGGCCACCTGCAGCAAAACCTCCGTGAAGCCACAGGAAGGGTGAGCTGAGGAGGTCCGCTCCATACGTAGAAGGCGCCCAAACATCCGGCGCGCGCAAGCTCAAAGATACTATTTTGAGCCCATTGCAAAGAAAATGGCATGCGTGGCAAAAAGTGCACACTCTGCACCACACGTCAAAACGGGGCCGGCAAACTTCTTGAATGATGGCATCGACACGCGCAGAGGTCCAACGAGTAGGCAAAGCCATCAGTAGAACCATGTTCCCTGGTGGATGAAGACAAGAGGGAGGGGGAGGCTGTCATGCACATGCTGGCTGCACGTGGCGTTGCCACATGCAGGGCATGCGCCACAAAAAAGAGAGGTTTTTTACTTGTTGTTGGCTGAAAGGGAAACTGAAGAAAGCCAAAAAGAATCTAAAGGGGCGCCGCCACTTTCACCCTGTCTCTACCCTCTCGAGGCCTTGAGCAGGCGTCCAGCTCCACGGCATTGGAGAAACAGGTCCGCGCTTCTTCCTGAGCATCACACGTGGATGCAGTTGCGCGTGCGTTAAAGCCAAACTCAAATGACACCCGTATGATTAGAGACGCATATTGAATAAATGTGTATATATGTATACCTGCGCACATACATTGCTGCTGGAAAAATATCCCATGTTGATTGCAGCTCTTGCCATTGGATAAATGGATCTGACTCCTTGCGATAAGCCCGCACTTCCTTCAGGCGCAGATTATGCCGCCTCAAATGGCTATACAAAGATACATGATGTGAAAATATATATGTATATATAAAAAAAATATATATAAAAATCCGAAATCACATGTTTACAAGCAACACCTCTAAATCAGCTGGTGCCTGCGTGACGTTCTGTGGCCAGCATGTGTATTCTTTGTTGCCCCAGCCCCGACCAAAACTCCGGCTTCGCCCTTCCGAGGCCGTCGCAAAGTTCTGCTCTTGGATGTGGGACAGCCCCAGGTGGTTGTGGGCTTCCGCGCTGGTCTCGGCAGAATTCGAGGGAAAATTCGAGCGGAAGGAAAACGAACGACTGGGGGGAGTCTCCCAAGTGAGCCCTCTCAGATTGGAGATAAAACTGGAGAAAACAAGGACCAGGCTCCTTTTGGCCCCCAAGCATCGACAAAACCGTCTCCTCTTGACCCCTTGAAACATGGGTGACATCATTGCCCCGTTGTTGGTACACTACCCCGTTTGAGGTAAATGGGGGGGGGTGGCATTCCATTGGCACGGTTACCCGGGTCAGGAATCCAAGTTTCCTGATGACCCACCCCTTTGTCTTTCCCAGGAAACTTGTTGGACCCCAGAAAGTTTTCGTTGTGCTTCCCACAATGAAAACAGATCCAAAAGGCGGTGTTCTCAAAACAACAAAGAAGACACCCATATGAACGCCCGGCATGATTACCTCACAAGAGACGCATAGGGATCAAAATCCGTCTCCCCTCCAATCTGCAACCCCATCAGCCGTCGATACCAGGTCACATCATCCATCGCTCATGCAGGACAGTGACTCGAACTTGGAAAACTTGGGGCCACACTTCGACAGGAGATAGCCAAAAACAAATCCAGACAAGCATCATTGAAAGTTGGAAGACCCCTCTGAAGTCGTCAAGCGCGCCCGCCAAAATGTAAAAATGAACCTAATGAATAATTTCCTAGCCAGCTACTCCCCCTTATATGTATATACATATATCTATATATATACATACATGTAGTCAACATTTGCTGGTGCATTCAAATCATATTTTGTCCATTGGCAACATTGTATCTCCAGATACGATGTTCAACCAAGCTGCGCGCATATCAAGAAGGGAAATCTTTGAGGCAAATCAGGGAGTTCTAAAGACTAAAGATCCGCACATATCACAATAATTCCAACACCTGAAAGAAGAACTGGATCTCCAAGTAGAAGGTCTACATCATCGGGTGGCGCTTGTTTTACCAGGTGAGCCCATATTCCCTCCCACTAACAAGGCACCTGACAAAAGAAAAACCCGCCTTCCAGCTACCCTTTCACAGGTGCCGCGGTGGGCGGACAAAACCAGTTTGCACCAGGGATGGATGAAATTCTATGGCTGATACACCACCAATCCCAACATGATTAGACTTAGGCCCAGTGATAGAATGTATATTCTATTGGTTGCTTCCCTTTGAGTCACTGGAAAAATGCAAATTGTATTGCCCCAGGCAAGTGGTGCCCTCAGATTTGGATCGACTCAAACAGCCACGGCGCTGTGTCCAGGTTGATCGCTTCCTTCAAGTTCTGAATGGACTCCGCGATCTGGCCCACCTCCGGGGGCCCAGACCGGGGCCCCTATCCCAGGCTTCCCTGGCTACCTATCTCGGTGCCTGGCATCTTTATCTTTTAGTTGTGGGGTTCCCTTCTGTTTCGGGCTGCAAGACTTAAGGTATCTTAAGGCGTTTTTGCTCACATGCCAGGGATTGGATAGCTTCATTCCAGGATTAGGCGATTCAACCCAGTGATTTTATGAGGCTAGTCAACGGGAGCACCTCGGAAAACTCATTCAGGAACACTGATCAAAGGCCAGGATGAATAAACCTTTCCCCTCATCGGGGGTGGGAGCCCCTCCAAAAAAGTGGCATGACCTACGAAAAGGGGCACACCATCCTCAAAATCAACCGGGGTTCCGGGGTTCCCATCAATATGGGTGTAATCTTTGAGTGGTTGTACCCTTCGGGCATCAGATGTCGATGCAAACACTCCAACCATTAAAGCTGTCCCAAAATGTCCCTTTTGCATATCAGCCCAAAAACAACTCACTTCAAAATGGCGAGCACAAGGTGATGTTTGCACTTTATACCACCCTACTGTTGGACACCGAGGAACTGCTTCGAAGACTGCTTCTGAAACTGCCCTTGTCAGATCACGTTTTGCTGTCCCAAAACCATGTTTAAAGGGGAATATAAAGATACCTGCTCTGGCCAAGCCATCCGAAACGCCTTGGTGCGCGTGTGCGTGTTGTTGTGTTTGTTGTTTCTGTTGTTTCTTGCTCGCTCGGATTGTGCCAGCATGGCATCATCCCCCAGTAGAGGTATCCATTAAACAATCCAATTGCACAAGAACTGAGAAAAATACACTCCCCGGACCGACCTTGGCAAGAAACGACAAATGCGGGGCGTTGCGATTTCGAAGTCGGTGGACTTTCAGGAGGAGACAGTCAGATAGCCTTCATTCCATGCTGGCTGCGCTCGGTCCAAATGCTACCGAGCTGTTCAAAACTGGCAGAATCAGAGGGCCTTGGGGGTCCCCAAGGCCTACCTGCCACCCCCCATTGCTCATCCTGAGCGGACTGGAACCACGACTTTTGACAAAGGCCCCTTTGCAACAAGGAGGGGAGATGGCCAACGCGACCCCAACACGTTTTTGCCAACGCAACCGGCAAAAAGCCCACCTCAGCACATCGAAAATACGAAACTCTGATTCTGGCAACCATAGTCTGCACCAAATCTGAGGAACTTGTTTGAGAACCGAAGACCTGAAAATTTCGGCTTTGTCCAAACCTGGCTCGCCCTGGGCTTCCGGGCCCGGCGGAAACAAATGCCCCGGTGGAAGAAGGCCTCGGCTTCCGCGGCGAAACTTCCGCGGCTTTCGGCTCCCCGAAAAGAGCCGAGCCTCCCCCCCCCACGAAAGGCAGTCAACCCTGGCGTTTTTGCACCCCAAAACCACCAAACGGAAGCTGAGTGTGACGCCCACTAACTCGCCCTTGTGGCACCCATCAAACACAAGGATTTCTTGTGGCACTCACTAAACCGGCGACCCGGGAATATAGGTGTTTGATGGTTGAAGCTTCTGGTTGACGTTTCTGAGCGTTCGCCCTTCTGCACGCTGACTGCTTCCGCGCATGGCTTCTTGCGATTCATCCATTGGGTGTGTCTGGCTTTGTGTTGAGGGTGGTTTGATGAGAAACCAAAAGGAAACCGAAGCCTGTGTTGGGGGCTCCCCTATTTTGAGGCAACCCCAAAAGAAGGACCATACCGAATTGGGTTGCAAGCCCCCTTCTAGTGGTTGGAATCGATTCCTCCCGCTCAAACTACTCCAAATGGCGTGTGATCTTCCAGAAAGCCTGGAAAAGACACGGGAAGTTACGTCTCAGTCGAAACGGCTAAGCCAATCCAAACCGATCGGTATTAAAATGGACCCCCAAAACCCGAGAAAACGACTCAGCGGAGATCCGCATGGAGTCGGCGGCTTCCAGCCCCGCCTTGTAGGGGGTAGCCAGCCGCTTATCCAGTGCCTCACGGATGGCGAGCGCCGAAGACCAGTTAAAGGGGTGAGCAAACAAGGACCTGCAGCAGGATAGAAACAAAAACAAAAAACACGCCTCGAAATTTTGAGGGGGAAGTCCACTCGGCTTTGGACGGGAAGGAACTTGCCAACTCACTGCTCTTTCCCTCAAACAAAATACAGACTGAAGCAAGAACATGTCTTCCCAATTCAGGTGATGCGGCCGCCTGGCTTTAAAACACGCGAGTTACTCAAATTAAACTTGGGGTTCTTAGGATGACCTTCAATTTTGCCACTTACTATTCCCGGATTTCCTACCATGGAACTTACCTGAAGGTCCCTTAACATCCGTTGCTCATGGCACCACGGAACGGCGCTCAAATGAGCCACGCTCCAGAAGGACTGTTCCCCTCAGCGAGTCCCCAGCATGTGATTGAAACTCGCCGGAAATTCTCTGAAACGAACGTGCCGTTTGAGGGTTGCTCGCAGCTCCAAAGTTTCACAGCGGCCGTTCTCCCCGGAGACCAAAAGGAGGCCGGTTCTCTTGGGCTGCCGGGTTGGCTACAAATGTCGGCTTGCTTGGCAAGACGTAGACCCCCAACGAAAGCCAACATGTCGCTCCGCTCATTGAAAAGGGAAATGAAGGAAAGCCGAAAACGCAAGCGGATGAAGAGGGCAGACAGGTAGCACTGACGAAAGGGTGGTACTTCCCCAAAATGGTGGTTTAACCATGATCAAAGGCATGGAAAGCCGTAGGGTGGCTCATATGTCCCCTTCAAACATCGCCCAACCACAAGGAAGTTCATTTTGAAATCAACCAAAAAGGCAAAATTGTGAAATCACCCTTTGATGGGAACATAAGGACCGCTGTCAAAAACAATAACCTGCTGAAAAAGAGGATCTGCTACATTAAATTGACTGGTGAAGCTGATTGTTTTTGACTGGCCCAAATGCATCCTCTACGGGAAAGCCCCAGAGTCAACACATCCCCTATGAATACCGGGATAAACCCACCTACCAACTGGCGCGGGGGCCGGAATCTGTACGCATCCACATCCAAAGAAACCGCCCTGAGTCACAATCAAAACCTAGACACATCGAACAGAATCACAAGGACGGATAGTCGCACCACCAGCTAGGAGAGATGAACCCCCTGGAACAAGCCACCCAACTGGTGCGAAGAGGAACTTTGTGCAGTGCGTTTGAGGTTGGTTGAACCCTTGCAAAACTTAAGCCTCTAGCGGGACATGTCATAAGTCCTTCTCGCCGCCGAAAGTCCCCCAAGACCGGCCAAATGACCAGAGTCTTGGGGTGGATATCTGGAACACGTGAAACGTCCAAAGCCTAAGGAACCGTACTGATGGACAAAATACCGCCGGTTTCTCCCAATCCATGGGGTTTTCATCCATCCAACTAAAGCCAAGCAATCGGCGTGGAATTGGCACCCGTGGGAGCGGCCTGGGTGAAGCCCTCGATGGCCCGGTCGTACTGCTCCAGATCGATGTGCACCAGCCTGCCCCCCGAAAAAATATATATGAAAAAGTACAACCAAGCGGAGAGGGGATTTTGAGCCCCAAGTTGTCGCCTTTCCCCAGAACCGCTTTCTGGCTGTTAGCGAACTAGACCCCGTCCCTAGGGGTCAACCGCGCGGTCTATCCATAGCTTATGTTGATGTTCCACGAAAAGGCGTCGGGGGGTGAAAAGGTAAGCTGGCCAGCCCTGCAAGAGGTGCCCCTGCATGGTACACTTCTGCTCATGACCCATCATCCAGCCCATTGGAAAGAAACGCCAACCACACCCCCCCTCAGCTCAAGCCGGCATCTTCCTGCCCTGTTGCAACCATCATCTCTGTTCTGTTAGTGTGGGAGTGCTCTGATTTGGTGGGGGAACACTTGAAAAAGGCACAGACATGTGGAGGGAACATCCCCAGTACCCCCAGTGAACATCCCAATCCCCACTAAAATAGACTAAAATGGGTGGTGCACCTACCCCAAAATGGTACTTGACCCACGGCCACATCTGAAGGAAGGTGGCTGGAGTTCAAGGTCCGACCTCTTGTGGCTGGCTCCGACTCTGATTCAGAGCCACCTGAGTCCTTTGGAAGTGGTCACGATGAGGCCATGGCTCATCAGTATACAACCAGGGCCAGGCTCATCACTCCTTACTCCTGGAAAGAAGAAGCCTCAACAAGGGAAACAAGATCAAACATGTAGGGGTGGTCCTACACTGATTCAGGTCCAACTTCACGCATCCCAAAGAAAACGGTCGCAAGGCGTGCCTCTGAAACACTTAGGCCGGCACGCCCGCTCGAAGTAGTACTCTGCAGCCTGCTCAAGTCGAAGCACCCGACGGTGTGAAGCGATATCTCGGTTCTCAGGCCAGGGTTCCCTACATTTCCCCCTGACTCTTCAAAGCACCACATTGGTGCTACTGGTACCTTAATCGCGAAACGGTGCATCCTTTACGCCGCATAAGGATTAGTGCCAAAATGGGAGGATTGCCCAGCTCCACTGGGCAGCTCCCCTCAGCAGCTGATGGGAGTAGAATTGATGCCACTCCCACAGCGAGGGAGGAATCCTCCCACCTCACCGGATGCCCTCCCGGCATCATGGGTGAGGAAGGAAAGTAGCGAAGATCAGCTTGATCAATTCGCTTTCGACTGAGGGGAAGACCCGGTTCTCAGTCGGAAATTGCGGGTCCGGATGAGTAAGTTCATCCGCCCATGTGTTAAAGTCGCGCTTCACATGCGACGGTCCTAACATGACCTGGTGGTCATGCAGTGTTAACACAATTTCCATGAGGATGGCCGCATTGGGCATCCTGCGAGTGGAATCGTTAAGCAGGGAGAAAACGTTTCCCTGGTTATCACTAGCAACCAGAATCCTAGTGTGAGAAGCCGAGCCGGCTGCACAAAGCAGAACAGCCCTCACCAAAAGGAGGAGGCCGAAGAGCTCCAAGGCCGCTATCGCCCGCTGCGGGTCCCCAGTAGTGAAGGCCCACGGCTCGCCCTCCGGTGTGATTCTGTGTTGGAACCACTTCACTCGGGACTTGTCGGGGTTGGGCACGTCCGAGCACCAACCACCAACCCATGCATGGTCCGCCTGTTTGCCAGCTCCCGCATCAGATGCCCCCGTCCATGGAAGTGTGGGAGCAAATGGAGATGCCAGTGGGAACCTCTGGTTGAAGAGCTTCCCCAGAAGGATGGCCAGAGCACGAACCAGCTTCGGTGGCCTGCCCGAAGTGGTGCAGGCCTTCTTCCAGCTCCAAAAGGGCTGGAGGAAAGGTTTCGTCAATGGACACGCCGAAGTAGCCCATTGAATCCGGCCCAGGGCTTGTTCCACCTCCTTGCTGGTAAAGATGTCCCCCTGGGCCAGCCGTTTGAGAGTGGCCAGGATTATGACGTGCTTGACTGGAGCCAGCAGCACACAGGGCGTGATTGGGTCCACCACGAATCCCAACCAGGTATTGACCGGGGAGAGCGCCGTCTTCTTCCAAGAAAGCGGGACTCCCAGCGCCAGAAGAGTGGCCAGGATGGCTGTGGCGTCCCAGTCCGCCCTGCTGCATCTGAGGACCCAGCAGTAGTCGTCCACAAAAACTAAGTGCCAGTCCACCTGAGGGAAGATGTAGTACAAGAGTCTGAGCACCAAGGATGCCTTTCTTCCCCAGTACAGTTGTGCCGAGGCCATGCCGTACGTGCCCACTCTATTGACCCACCACCGGTTCTGGATGCAGGCCACCTGGTATTTCCAGTCTTTCTGGAGCACTTTTATGCGCCTGTGGGCCTTGG